AGGTTGTTATTACGTTGTGAGATAAGGTAAGACAGCGACTTAGTAACTAGGTTGTTATTACGTTGTGAGATAAGGTAAGACAGCGACTTAGTAACTAGGTTGTTACAACGTTGTGAGATAAGGTAAGACAGCGACTTAGTAACTAGGTTGCGACAACGTAATCCACAACGTAAACTACAACATCACTACAACGTTGTGAATCCGTAGTGTGTTAGCTGGGTAATTGTGATTTAATTATCAAAACGGGTTTCATCACTTCATCTTCTTATTTCAAAATGGTTGTCAAGTATATATTATTTGCCACAATACACACGTGCCTACACGTACTGTACCTACAACACGTCTTTTTGTCAGACAACATTTTGCATTAGTTGATGATTTAATGTATCTGCAATGGCTCATTTAAGTGTAGAATAAAACAATGTTCTCCTCACCATTAACATGCATGAATACACACTCAGTCTACAAACACAGCCCCGCTGAGCACAGATAGTGTTTTCGACAGTGCAGCAGTTATTTCCGTATATGATAACACCCAGACAATGCTTTATTCTTTACGCATTAATCCTCATCGTGCAAAGTATTATTAAACTGAAACAGGAAATAATGTTTAGCAATTTAGAGGAATCCATAAATATGAAGCTTAGTGTGACCTGCACTCATGCACTCAGTCAGTTTTAGCACATTATAGTGTCTTCTTCCTTGTTTCTGTTGCCCGCTATTACGTGTAGGTGGGGACACGGAGTTACACCATCTAACATTGCAAACACTGATTAAACAATACATCACAAGAAGTTATAAGGTAGTATTTTAATGAATAAGCTTCAGACCAAGATAACAATAAGCACACACATGACGTAACCCTGCAGTAACGGGTCAGCTTTGATGTGATGATGATAATTATGTACACGTGATTAATAATGAACAAAGCAGTGAGATGCTTCGTGGGTATTTAGAAGTTGGAAGGTAACATAACAACGGTTGGTATGGATTTACAACGTCTTTATGATTTACAACACGACATTTATGGGTCACTTCTTGTCCCTTCATTGGATGAATGGCAGAATATGATTTACAAGCAACATATAACGTACGTACAGGAGGCGAGTGAGAAGGAAGTAAAGTTTGAGATGTACAGAGATCAAGGAGATTAGGTGAAATATTTTGATTAAGATGTACAGAGTAGTGGAAATGTGCAGATCCTGTGATAACATCCACAGCTGGTGTAACCATGGATTTTGTCACAACGGTTACAAGTACATGTTCAGGATTCATGTTATCAATCATCCAACTGGATTGCAGATATCCGTCCGATATTTGCAGGGTCATGAAGCGTAGCATAATTGTTGGTTTCTGAAGCATTTCCAGCTTCTAGATGACTGAAGTAATGCTCTTCAGCTTGTCCTTCACGTGCAACAACCTGATGATTTCCTAGTGGTGCTGGTTTTTTCCTGAAAATGTAATCTTTAGAATGTAAGGATGAGCAACGATCTAAATATTTGGTGGACGATAACATAATTAATAAGCCAACACTAAGATATGCACAGGTTGATGCACAGGTTGACACGTAACAAATCTTTACATAAAATCATCCCAGGAGGAGAGTTTGAGGAGGACGCTGACCAGTTTGGTCAGTTTGAATGTTTCTTATAGCAGCTTGCCGGTTTCACAAACACCTGGTGTTATCACTGATTATCAGTGATGTATTCATATAAGTGTTATCACTATTTAGTCTTTTGCTTTCAATGACATTTCGAATTAAATTGGATCAATACTTTAGCTCTCAGCAATGTTGTTTTTTGTGAATTTAGTCACCAACCGAGAATAACGCACATGTGTTATCCAGTAATTACGGTATCTTACCTTTGGATGAAGTAGCAGCCAAGGCCACTGGTGACAGCAACAAGCGCCAGTATCCCACATGTGACAACAGAGATCACTGTAACTGAAACACATGAATACAAACTAAGGATCTCTTGAACAGGTATGTGTAAACAGTCACTTTGTGATAAACCTCAGACAACGTATAAAATGCGATCAATATAAATATTTCCACATTCATTGTGGGAAACGATGCATGTGTTAAACATCTTGCAGAAAAATATTGCCTTATTTTATTATACAGTGGAATTATCCAATAGGAGGTTCTTTCATTATGGATACTTTTATTGGAGAAGTGTGTCTAAATCTGGTGTACGGTAACCAGTGATTAATCTGACCGTCGTTTGTATCAATGTGACATAGATTTGTCAATACATAGTGTTCTCCTTAACATACATCATAGTGTGACCCATTCACCGAAATATTAAAATAGTAAAAAGAAGCTACAAAACCCTTTCCACGTCCATATGAAATATCTGCTAAAAGCAGAGTCGATTGTACAATATTTAGTTACACGGTGTTTTGAAAGAGTGTACGGGACTGTAAAACCCTTGTCAATTCCGTATAACTTAATAACACAAACAATTTTGTACAAACCTAAACTCGGTCGACAAGATGATCATACGCACAATTAACTATCAGATAGTTTTACAGTCATCAATAGTACCTTTACTGTTTGAACCTTGGGTTGTCGTTGACAAATTCAGTGCTGTCGACCCTGAAGATCCTGAAACAACGTATAAACAACTATGGTGCGTCCAAATGCCTGTCTTTGTGATTATCATATTGTAGCACAATCAAGGCCCTGGGACACAAATGAAAAGATATATGACCATAATATCTAAATATGGTGCGTCCAAATGCCTGTCTTTGTGATTGTCATATTGTAGCACAGTCAAGGCCCTGGGAGACAATAAGAAAAGATATATGACCATAATATCTACATATGACTTTCATTCGCACCTTCGCTTCCTTTCCGTAATAGAAACCTACGGAAAGCTGCTGGAAGAGCCCAAGGGAGGCAACTTCACGTATGCACAACATACTGTGACACCCCTTACTCGGGTAAAGATATGTAAACCGCTGTGTGTAAAACTACAAAATCCCACTATTTACAGGTAGGTAATTTTGCAGTTGCCAAGGAAAAGGTGAGTAAAATATGATCCAAGAGAAATCGTCGATACATGTTCTTCCATGCCTTGCATTTGTCATCATTTACCAATATTTGAAGCACATGCCAGGAAGTCTGTTTTTGTATGTCAATATCGCCCAAACATATTCGTTTTCGCCTGTCAACGTGAATACCACATAGCGGACATAACACCATTTGTATTTTGAGAAGTACAACTGTGTACAACGCCTGTACCTTGTGTAGACGTGTCCGCGGATCCCTCCCGACATGGTACGTACCGATCAGGACCTGTCAATATAGGATAAAACATGACACACAATAGGAACCTTCTGTCGTATCTTATTTATCATGCTGCATCCACTGAAGGCATGTCATGGGAGTTACATGATTTTATCACTAGTCACATCGAGCTGTGTTAGCCAACGGAATAAACATAGGTTTTCAGTGTGTTTTCAGTGGCTATTTCATACGTAGTTCACAAATCTCATTCTTTCATAGATTCATCACCGCTTTGAGCCCATGCTTAAATGTCGCAATATGTGATACAATATCTCCGTCATAATACCTATCTGGTATCTGTGTTCCATTTGCAGACATTTTAGTCGTTATCTCGCCTTATATGCAAAACACTGTAATGTGGTTGGACAGTGCCGTTTCGACCAAAGTCTCGTTACCGAGGTGTAGACATGGACAAGATATATCCCGCTGCCTTGACTAGTTACCTACAAGAGCTTTGTCTGCTGTCGGATCACGTCAGTAATGAGTTTTTGTGAGTATTCTGTGAATGTTTAGCAGTTTCATATTGTAAATGCGTCTTAGTTATAGTGGCGTTGTTTCAACGAATTATTGTCGTGAGAGAATTAAAATGATATCTTGAATATAAATTGTTTAACTTTAGTTCTTATATAGCTGTGTTTACTGTAAAAGAAAATAGAAATTTAGAGATCATTAAAGAAAATCCCAATCAAGACAGGCGGCAATTGTTTTTTCTCCTTTTCTAACTCAAGATTTACATGAAAAGTAACGTGTTTAATTGTTATTACAGGAAACATCTGATTTGTTATCCTGGTACATATTATAAATGACGTTCAAAACCTTTCAGGATATGCTAGTTTTAATAGTTTTTGAAAATCTACAAACGCCAAAATAATTTCTACATCTGTAGAAGTTAGCTTTCAAAATCCGAAAGTTTTGTAAAGTAAATACGTGATCACTGGTTGAATAAATATTTCGGAAACCTGCCTGAGCTTCCGATAGTATAGAGATAATTTCGGTGAAAGTTTGCAAACGGTTACTTAAACCTGCTGTGAAAGGTTTACCAAAACATTCTCAACAGGGTAAGTGTCACACTACATATTGTGTGACTACAGTTTCGTCGGAGGAAGGACAACTTGTGAGCTGTCATGTAGGTGGTACCTCCTGGGTTAGGTGTAGATGTTAGCATATGTATATCCATAATTAACCGGGTTGTTAATTATATATATAAACGCATATATCATCGGCCGAGTCTGACTGTATGTAATTGATATGAGAGTTGATGCCATGGTTATCATCATACGTGAGTTCAGTGTAGATTGAAATATAAGAACACTTTCAGCCCCTCCCTGTTCAACAAGCATGTCGCACTGACTATATTCATTGCCATGAAAACACACCATTTCCTGTAAATTGTGATTGGATTCTCTCTGTCAAAATACTTACTGGTACTTGTGTTCCCTTTGCAGACATAATAGTTGGTGTCACTACAGCTTGCCGGGAGGAATGACTCACTGGAAGCTGTCTTGCATGTGGTACCTGTTGGTTTAAATATACTATTCGGTGAATGTATAAAGGTGGTTTGTAACCATATACATGTTGCGTTTTCAACAATGGTTGATCACTGTCAGTTTACAGCAAACTAGGGTTACTGTTCTAGCCTGGTGGCGCACGAAACAGAATTCTAGACCTGTAGTTCATTGTAACAATGAAAGTTAAGTTTCAGGTTTACCATTGATCTCTATCCATATTCTGGTATGTTCAGCTGTGGCGTTCAGTAATACTTTCCCGCCGATGGGTGCAGCTAAATCCAGTAAAGTGAATATAGTGGCGTTCTTTTTGCTGCAGTCTGTCTCTGCTGCCGACCAATTGAGAGCAACACAGGACGATTCAAATGTAACTGAGGAAGAGACACAATGACATTTACTTAGTTTCAGGAAATGACAATAATTATATATAATGACAACCACACCATGTTTGGTATTTCTTCATACTTAACACAAAGAAAGCGAATACACAAATTCAGTGGAATCAATGCATCCCCTGTGTAACCCCTCGTGTTATAGCTACCTATATGATACTTGCATACGAGTATAGGAATTACACTACATATTGGGTATTTCTTGTGAATGAGTTCCAGTAGTCAATACAAGTATGAATTGGGATCCATCCGTTTAATGATACCGTAGATGGGTAATGGCCTTTGTATCCACTAACCAACACGAATAGCATATCCATAAACATAGGTGCATTGACACATGAATGTTTGGAGGAAATGTAATCTCCGGTTTCACAAGGTAGTCGTGTCAATCTATTAACACATAAAACTGTATTGTTTACTCACCTGATGAAATATGGCTGACAGTACCCTGTATGTGACTGGCGTCCAGGAGTATCAGTACCCTCATGACAAGCGGTATAGGGTTTACGTTACAGCGAGACATTGCAGCCACCCCTCCCACAATAAAGCACTACTTCCCCTTCTCAACACTCGCGAAATACCACACCTATAACGTGGTTCAATTTCCTGTCGCAACTGAATGACTCGCTATGACGGTTCACACCCCGCCTGATAGAGCTAGTTCGGTAAGGTAAGAAGATGAGCGTGTACGTCACAACATACGTTACTCAAAACCAAATATTTCAGCGATGTTATATTTTTTCAAATTTACTAAACCCTCAACAGATGTTACATGTATATATGTGCACAATCCGACCTTCAAGCAGCAATAACAATAGAAACAGACTGGCTTCAGCAGTTCTTGCTTCCGAGTACAGGAACATCCAAAGGCCAGCCTCGGTCCCGTACTTGTCTGCGGTCACATTCAGCATAAATCATCTTGTTACTAAAAGATAGCACTAACTATTTTAAAACAGGGTCAGTTACAATTACTGAGTGGGTGGACAAAAAACAAACCCCCAAAATCCCAAAGTCATCTAATCACAGGTGCCAGATGACTCTGCTCTCAAGTGCGTGAAGTCTCTGCAATGTATTTATGTCCACACCTGCATGATATCTCTCATACACAGCTGCATGGTATCTCTCATACACAGCTGCATGGTATCTCTCATACACAGCTGCATGGTATCTCTCATACACAGCTGCATGGTATCTCTCATTCAGAGCTGCATGATATATCTCATTCACAGCTACATGATATCTATCATACACAGCTGCATGATATCTCTCATTCAGAGCTGCATGATTTATCTCATACACAGCTGCATGATATCACATTCACAGCTGCATGATATCTCTCATACACAGTTGCACGATATCTCTCATACACAGGTGCATGATATCTCTCATACACAGGTGCATGATATCTCTCATACACAGCTGCATGATATCTCTCATACACAGCTGCATGATATCTCTCATACACAGCTGCATGATATCTCTCATACACAGCTGCATGATATCTCTCATACACAGCTGCATGATATCTCTCATACACAGCTGCATGGTATCACATTCACAGCTGCATGATATCACATTCACAGCTGCATGATATCTCATTCACAGCTGCATGATATCTCTCGATATCATCTCATACACAGCTGCATGATATCTCTCATACACAGCTGCACGATATCTCTCATACACAGCTGCATGATATCTCTCATACACAGCTGCATGATATCTCTCATACACAGCTGCATGGTATCTCTCATTCAGAGCTGCATGATATCTCTCATACACAGCTATATCATATCTCTCACAGCTGCATGATATCTCTCATACACAGCTGCACGATATCTCTCATACACAGCTGCATGATATCACATTCACAGCTGCATGATATCTCTCATACACAGCTGCATGATATCTCATTCACAGCTGCATGATATCTCTCATACACAGCTGCATGATATCTCTCATACACAGCTGCATGATATCTCATTCACAGCTGCATGATATCTCTCATACACAGGTGCATGATATCACATTCACAGCTGCATGATATCTCTCATACACATGTGCATTATATCACATTCACAGCTGCACGATATCTCTCATGATACACAGCTGCATGATATATACTCTCATGATACACAGCTGCATGGTATCTCTCATACACAGCTGCATGATATCTCTCATACACAGCTGCATGATATCTCTCATACACAGCTGCATGATATCTCTCATTCACAGCTGCATGATATCTCTCATACACAGCTGCATGATATCTCTCATACACAGCTGCACGATATCTCTCATACACAGCTGCATGATATCTCATTCACAGCTGCATGATATCTCTCATACACAGCTGCATGCTGCATGCATGCATATCTCTCATACACAGCTGCATGATATCTCTCATACACAGCTGCACGATATCTCTCTGCACGATACACACACAGCTGCACGATATCTCTCATACACAGCTGCACGATATCTCTCATACACAGCTGCATGATATCTCTCATACACAGCTGCACGATATCTCTCATACACAGCTGCACAATATCTCTCATACACAGCTGCACGATATCTCTCATACACAGCTGCACGATATCTCTCATACACATGATGAGGGGTTTGGACAACAAAGACATTTTTAACTGAGCATCGAAATTCCATTAGCAATTTAACGATACCTTCCCAGTACAAAATCCAATTGCAGTACAAAATCGAAGTAGTATGATATCAAAGCTGTGATTACAGCACTGATTATGAAGACCGTGCTGATAATAGTCACCAGTATTGCAACCGTGGTCAGGCTTCCAGGGGAGGCAATGGGCTCCTTATCCAAAACAACTGTAACTTGAAATACTCTGACTGACTGAGGTTGGTTTTACGCCGCTTTTAGCAATATTCCAGCAACATCACGGCGGGGTTACACAATTAACAGTGAGTGAGTGACTGAGTATGGATTTACGCAACGTTCAGCAATATGTTAGCAATAACACGTGGACTCCAGAAATAGGCTTCACACATTGTAGGGGATCGAACCCGGGTCTTCAGCGTGAGTAGCGAACGCTTTATCCATTAGGCTACCCTACTGCCTTAGCACAATGAATAACACTCTAACATAACAACATTGTGACGGAGAGTATGATATATTATGGTATGACTCACTGCATTCTTATACCACACACGCGCGTTTTTTTCCACAACGATAACATGTACTGAGAAACACCCAAGGTTACACATGATTCATGATAAGATGATTATTGAACGGTAATCAATATTACACCCGTCACATTAATGAAGCAGAAAAATGCTTTTGCATTTTATTAAATGGTCGTCAAAAGAAGATTGTTTATATAGATTACTGGACGAGATGTGTGAAAATAACCTATAATATATTTGTTAAAATCAGTAAATATTACATTATTTAGAGTTTAACTACTATATCTTTCAACACATATCTATGAAGACATCTGCCCAACCTTAATGGTGAACATCACAATTTGCACATTAATGCCCGCGTGACTGGGTGGTTGCGTGATGTATCGGCCCAGACAGCTCACACACGTGTTTGTTGTGTATATGATCAGCACACTGCGACAGACTGTGTGACTAGCAGGGGTTTATTAATACAGGTTGTTTCACTTTCAACGCTCCAGGGGGCGGTGGGGTAGCCTAATGGTTAAAGCGTTGGCTCGTCACGCCGAAGACCCGTGTTCGAATCCCCACATGGGTACAATGTGTGAAGCCCATTTCTGGTGTCCCCCGCCGTGATGTTGCTGGAATATTGCTAAGAGCGGCGTAAAATCAATCTCAGTCAATCAGTCAGTCAACGCTTCAGCAATGCCACGATTTGCTCGCCGTGGGTATATTAAAACACGAATTAGATGAAAAGAAAGTTTAAACTTTATCGAACACACTTATCATCCCTTAGAAATCGATCCTAAACGACCATATTTAAAGCTGCTACAATTCCATAGTTGAGACCAATCATTACCTCCCTTTACTCTGAAAAGCAAGCTTTCAATGTCCTAACGTCATTTAAACAATACCGTGCTTGAGCCACTAGCTAAATCAACAAATTTATTATTCATCCTGTTGTACAAGTACGAAACATTTCGATGATAAGTCTAACACAGAAACATGCAATAAGTAGCATACTACGATAACATCACCGTCAAATTTAGAGTAACCTCCCGTTGACTATCGATGTTGAATATTTGTAGTTCAACTTCTGTATGCGTGTATTTATTAAGGTAAATGTAACGTTGGAGGTATATCGATGCTGAAATGGTGTGTCTATTTTAACTTTCAGTGCGTAAATATAACAATTTCCCCCCGTTTGGTTTATCTGCTATGGATACAGATTGCGTATGTTGAAAGCGTTTACATATTGGAGACATCCAAATTCCAAACTCCTCTCTCATATCATATCAAGGGTAGCGGATGCATGACGTGTTTCCTCCTCTCAGCCTATATATGATGCTGATGTGTCACTAGGAACATCCGGTATGGATGTCACTTCACCAGCACTCAAGTAACCCCAGGCCTACAGCCCGTGTCACATATTGATGAGGGAGAGAAGGCCGTAGTCAGCAGGTGTATCACAGAACCGTCAGTAGCAAAGAGCTTGTCTGATACAGAAGCAGTGTACTAAGACCTTATGATAAGGAAACAGGGAAACAGAGTTAACCGATAGGATGTGTGCCGTTCCTTCGCAATTAGCATTTTGTGGTAAATATTCTATGTTAATAATTGCACTGGTCATTCCAGGCAGAGTGACGGAGAATGAGACATTGTACTACAGGCAGCTACCTTGTTATGCTGGACAGTAAGTATTTAAAATGAACCGTTTTTATTACCACACCACACACACCATAAAGAATAAAAGAAGAAACGAGAAACAGTATAAACATCCATCTCATAAAATTAACTCTATTAAGATACTATATATAGAATAATATGTTCTGTTCTGATATATACTAATCAATATGATTTCCCAAATATCCCAAATCTTTCTAGTTGTACATTTACTAAACTATGTGCCTGAGCTGGATTTTTGCTTAAACATTACCAAGACAATTACTTTAAACGTCTTGGGATAAGATTCAGTCGGAAGTTCATGAAATGTACGAGGTGGTTATCAGATCAATATGTACAGTACGGAATCCAAGTGTCTGTCTTCTCTCTATCAGTACAATACATAACCGACCTCCCATCCCACACTTACAAGACGGATTGCTGCCATTAGCCCTGGTTGTACCTAGCGCTGTACTAAACAACCTATATTTTATCAATAATTATATACTCCCTAACAGAAACGCAGGAGCGAAAATAATTACGTCTATATTTGAAATAATATTTCTCTGTAAAAGCATTCTTTACATGGAGAAAGCCACTGTGTCTGTCAAAATTGATGATCATAGAAGCACAATAATGTTCCGATTTAGTTGGAAATCCATGTTTACACACCTAGCGTTTGGTCAGGCATTCTCCTGCTGCACAATCTCACGCCAAGGGTCGAAAACGCAAAGCAGGTGACTTTGGAGACTTTCATCTAAGTAAAGTAATGCTTTCCAATTACCTTGCATGAGCGACTGGTCCCTGTTTCACAAAGCTATCGTAGCGTTACGATACTGTAACATAGATTTATGACAGTCGGAGCGCTACGATAGCTTTGTGAAACAGAGCCCTGGTTGGTGGCTCGTTCTACATGTGTAGGATATGGCTGCCCTCGTCATCATACTGCAACGTCCATTTCCATGCTAAGTCCGTTTTGAATATTAATAAAATAGTATCCAACAGGGCGTTTCACATAACTCACTTTCATTTGGACAAGAATTCAAACTGTAAAACGTCATTAAGACTGTATATCTATGTCTATATATCCGGGACATGTGTTCTGTCATATAAATTATCAACAGGTCTCCTGTCATACATGGGTACAGCGGTGCTGTCGTAATGGTTTTCGATGGTCCAACCACCCAGATTGTCAATTCCTGACAAATGGCTGTACACCGACGCCACGTCGGACCTCTGGTTAACTACATTGTCTTCTGTTGACCACATCCTGCACAATGTGTCATAATCGCCGCCATTTGCTCCTTTACGTTGTTCCTGGTTGATAGCAGCAGAGTCTGTGTTGATGTCATCTATAGCCGTTACATCAGCAGCTCTGTTGCCTCCCTTGTCTGTATCAGGATGTTGACGGTGGTATATCGCACTCTCAACCCGCACTGCATAACGCTTGGGTTTCCTGATCCTGAATCACATAGAATGTTTCTTTATGAACTCTTGTACCATGTACAACCCACCGGTCTAAAACGTTACCTGTAATTCAGCAGCATGGTGCATATATACTGGACAAAATAAGTTAGGTATATTAGTATTTTTATGATTGATATTTTATCAGGGTGTAAATGAATAAATAGATCATAATTCATAATTTCAAAATTTACATATATCCGTAACTATTTTTGTCAAGTATATATCAGTTTAAGAAAATCATCACAAATAAGACCATTCCCTTACCGACTGCAGTAGCACCAGACAGTTATCAAAGCCACGACAAGCGTTATAGTCAGGCACGTCCCCGCAATGATGCCAGCAATGTCTGCAAAAGTGACAAAATGTAACCTACCAATTCTCATTAAAGGGAAGTATTACACATGTACAGAGAATTCATAGATTAAGGCAGGGACGATGTTGACGAATAGTGCAGATTTCTGACATATTTATTTGACATGCCATTTCCGGCCTTTCCTGTGACATGGATGTGACATGTTTTAGTGACTGTGACATTACATACCGGGATAGGAAACATTTCATCAGCTTACCTGTTGAAGGTATGTTGTTCAAGCAAGGTATGTAGAGATGTGTTCCTGTGGCACAGAAAGAAAATAAACATGGCTGTACATCTGTGTTTCATACTGCTCCACATCTCGAACCGTAAGGCGAGTTATCGCATGCTTGATTCTTTAGTCTTCTTGCATGATATATACTTACCATTTCGCTCTTCCGTGGAAGCTGTGGGTAACAATGTACAAGATGAAGATACACACAACAAATTCAACTATATTTCGGATAATCTGACGTTGCTTCTATGTAGATCTTGTGAGCATCTAGATTTCAACTGGACACTAATGTTGTTCATATGATTCTAGATCTGACATAGTGACCACCTAGTTTGGATGTTTGAAGTGATGTGCACATGTCATATCAAGATGAACGTAATGACCAATTAATATAGTTACGTTCCATTTAGTTTTATCATATAATGAATACAATTTCCTGTTACAAGTGAAATTTAAACAATGTTTACATAACGTTATGATATTGTACACCAAAATGAAGTTAAATCATGCTGTTGCAAATTACAAATGAACGCTGTTCCACTTACTAGTGTTTAAGTTGCAAACATAGTGATACTGGTCTCCACAGTTGGCGGTCTGGAATATGTTAGTGCCATTTGAATCTGACAAAAGCAAGATAAAATCTGTTTGAATCAAACAAGACTATGCTGATGTCACACATGCAATAAGCGACATATCGGGTTGCTTGAAGAGTAACAGCTGATGTGGGGCAGTCAGTTACATACATAAGTCTACCGAGAAGCATGTAGTACATTTCCACTGTTAAGTTCAGCATAAACCAACCACTTCACTGCTCACTCTCTCACCACTGATAAATGTTGTATCAACGGTATCTACCTCTTGGCACAATACAATGCACATCCTCCAAAAACGCCAGATATCATGCTACACATGTCATCAGTAGAGATGACCTTGAGGTCAGATGTTATTGAGGATCTGTGCTGTATGATACACAAAGAACAGCAGGTACATGTATACAGTGGTAATGTGCCACAAGCGTGTACTCACTAACAGCCACACAACAAATGTTTGTCTTGATACTGGCTCCATCTGTGGTACTTTGACAGGGATCTGCAACATCATTTTGCACAATGTATTGAGATCATTGTATTGGGCATTTTATGATGCCAACAGTGTACTGGATTGCTGTATAACATCACATAATAATTTGAATTGTTGCAAGTGATATATCTTTTGTCGAACATATAAATGAGGCGGTGCACTTATATGGGACATTATGACTATGCTTGACATTGAGTGGATAAGTAGCTGCGAATACAGAACACGAAGATGTCGATGTAATATCGGCAGGTATTGTAAAGTTCCTGATAGACGTCAGACTCACTAACTACTGAAGAACAGAAAAACAGCAGAAGGGCGTGCGAAGCGTGAGATGCATGTATTTCGTATACAATAAACGTCGTATGGTTGATGTTTTCACCTGTATATTTCATGTCTGTTCATATGGTGAGGTGAAATGAGGATTGAAGACAAATGCACTAAGAAAACGATATGCATGCATGTGTGTTCGTGCATGTGTGTAGGTGTGTGTATGTGAAGGTGCATGCATGTACGCGTGTACGTGCGTGTGTGTACTTTGGTATGCGGCCATAGATCGAACCACTGCTGGTGATCTGTCTATCAGGTCACGGAAACGTCAATTTACTTGTATTTACAATGCTGCCCCTATCTTGTTGATGATAATGAAATGACAACGGGTCATCTTCTGTCGTCCCTAAAGTAATAAGCGCACTCTATATGCTTGTGTAATATTCATATTTAACATGTGTAAGCTACAAATAACAGAGGAATTATTTTAGAATCAAACAATTTAGACGTAATCGGTCACACAAGCTTGCTTCCGTTCACAAGTATGAGATAATGATACGTAAAAACATTACTGCCTGTGTTGCCATTCATCCATATCGCCCCCACATCAGGTATTGCCGACTCCAACACGACAAGACCATAGGCCAACTTCAAATCCACAAGGCTGAATAAATCTCCACCTTCCTTCTTGCAGTTTATCTCAGCCACAGTTGCGTTTGCAGGGAAACAGGATCCATGGAATGTCTTATTTACTACAAAAAGAAGTAAGTAATTGAGATAACATCTCTAAGGGTTGACATGAGATAATGAGAACTCTGTATAGTATTTAGTGGGTGACAATATATTGGTTCTATAGCGTCATCACATCTATAGTTACGAGAGATGCGTGAAAACCTGGTATACTTTCATGTTGGTTGGTCTTGCTGAGGTCAACTGCCTTACATATTATATAAACCTAGATACTTCATATCTCGGACATGAAAACAAAATGCATGTAAAGATCATATTATATTACCTCCTCTTAACACACATATCATCATGCAAAGATAATGCTTCTCATTGACTTTCGGTTGTCAGGTGCAGTATAGATCTTGTGGATAAAAGACATGAAGGAGATTAGAGCTGAAGAATGGTCTATATCTGTAGTAAAACAGTCACTCACCTGAATGTTGACTGTGGGTTACTCTAGAATTATCCAACGTCAGTATCAGCAGTATTATAACAGCGAGAGATGGGCGTACACGGGCCATCGCTATTGTGTCGTGACCAAAGGGGAGCTAGAGACTGTCAGAGTGCTGACCCAGCTTCCGGGTTGTAACACGCCTGACACAATTGAGTAATGATACACCAGTGTCAAGGGTTTATAGATTTGTGAGAACTGTCTCAGCATGTGATTGTGCATGTAATAGTGTGTGTGTGTGTGTGTGTGTGTGTGTGTGTGTGAATATTGACATTATAAATAGTGTGTGTGTGTGTGTGTGTGTGTGTGCGTGCGTGAGGGAGGGAAGGAGGGAGAGCGAGAGAGAACGAGAACGAGAGAGACAGAGAGAGAGAGATTGATCGTACGGGTTTATGTGTGAGAACATATGTGTACGTGTGTGCGTGAACATAAGAGAGACTATAAAGTAGATAGTGTTGTTCGTGAATGCGTGCGTGTGAGAGTGTGGATGTGAGTACGTTTGTGTGTGAGAGAGTGTGCGGTTCGAATATGTGTGAGAGAGTGCATGTGTGAAAAGAGAGTTTTCGTATTCCCTGCCTCTCGGGATGATCACGATTCGAACGAGTTAAAACAGAAGTATTCACAGCTACAACTTACAACCTGTACTCTGAGGTCCTGCACGTCGCTGTAACGACGTGCATCACCCCTTACTTCATCAACAATCTACGCTGGGGTGGTCTCACAGAGCGGGAAATCTACACGGACCAATGCTCAAACACAGCCTGCTCAATACTGTTTACAAACATGAGGCTTCCTTGATATCAATGGATATCACACACACACACTCTTCATACCTTCAGAGGTATACCAGATGTTAAACAAAGCTGAATATGAGCTTAAGTGAAAGCGTGATACTTTATTAGTACTTAATTGAAATCAATGTGATTATCGATGTGTGCATGTTCATTACATGGAGGCTTTTACACACAAAAACGTTTACAAAAGAGGGCAGAGAATACACAATATCGTGTACAGTTTTACGTGTAACTACCTTTTCGGGCCGACACTTTGGTCCGAAATCCGAAATAATGAGAGTCCGAGCTACAGAGCTTTTTCATTATGGCAACAAAGAAGGATTACGCCAGGACCGTAAGTTCAGTCCTGTTAATACAGCAATCCGAGAAAGACAGAGTCCGAGTTTGACAGAGTGTATATGTACCATACAGTCAACACTGTGCATGTAGTGCGACACAACATACATCAATAGACATCTGTGCTGTATGTGTCTGTCTAATTTGACACGCAATTGTGATACATTTTCAGGGAATTTATTTGATATAATATCCACGATCGAACATGTCGTCAAACCATTGTCAATGTTTGGCACAATCAGTTGTTCCCTTCATAGGTCTCGCCCCAGACTGGTTCAGCAGGATCAAGAATAGTTTTTAACAAGTGTACATGCGGGAGCGCAATAAGCCGACATTTACCAGTGTACAGTGTACCAGGAAATCACCAAACAAGACATCAGGAGAACCAAGATATAGACAGTAGACTATCACGAGTTATCACCCTTTAAATGTTTGTCACATCTGAATATCCACATGATCTAAAACAGCCCTCGTATAAAGAGACTCCTGTTTACCTCCTGCCATCAAATCTGTTTCCACACTGTCACCACCCAAACCTTACTCAAACCTCATAGCTGGGAATGAGGCGAGGCGGTAGCTCTTCCACATTTCTTTCTAATTTAATATATGTTTTGTGATTCTTGCCAATGTGTATAACTCTTTTTGACTAATTTTGCCCAGTAAAAAAATGCGTGACTGAGTGAGTTAATATTTAAAGTCACATCGGCAGTATTTAAGCCACATCATGAACAGTGTACAACTGAAAGTACGTATACGAGGACACACTCTCCTACAGTTTTGACACATTTGCCACAAACATGCATTTATCTGAAACACGGCCTCTTCAATAATGGGAAAAAACACCTGAAACATGTATTTCGTCTGCAAAAGCGAAACAAGGACAAAAATAATTTCCTGCTACCCAATGAACTCACTTCGTGTCGTTTGTTATCGAAAGTATTACTTGAATTACAACACATAAAGGATAATAAGGAACGAAGTCAATGTCTTTTAGCAGTGATCAATGATATGAGCTCATGGGCCAATTCATTGACGCCAGACCAAACAGACCTTGGGTATTGTATTCGTCATTAACTCCTCGCATTCAGAGAATCCGATTAGTGCGCACTGCGCATTGTGGCTCAAAGGGCTTTTTGAAATACAATGCACTTAGGCTTTAAGGACAAAGTGTTAACGTCTACCAGGCGAATGTAAACGCATTAGCAACACTGACAGTAACTAGTCAGAAGTAATGACGTATCTGTAGTAATTCTGACCACAATCTCAGGGTCAAGCGCGGACCTCGGAGTATGCAACTCTTGACGTCAGCCAGGGCTGACAACTGTGTTTGTTAAACAAACCTTCATCGGATGATTTGTATTAAACTAACATAATTATCCCATGACAAGAACATGTATTATCCACAATAAAGGCCCCAAGTAGTTACATAGTTAACTAAATCCCAAGGAAATCTCTCAACTGTAAGCCCTACGAATACGAGAGTTGGTCCTCGGCCAGGTCATGGTACATCAAATCAGTAGTTATGAAAACAATGAGCATTTTTTTAACAAATAATTGCTGATGCTATGCACTATATCCATGCTTGGTACACCCAGCTAGGGACTGTCGCGTGGGTACCTTATAACCACACACACACAACTTAGGAATTCATGAATAACAGCAGCAACATGCCACAGTCACATCAAAACTCGTCTCGTCTTAAGGCGTGCTCATTGCTCCATCGACACATTGTAAAGTGACGTCCAATCGGCAATTATGATGTCTGTAATTGACGTCCGAGCCCGACTCCAACTGCTGTTTGTAGTTGCACTCAGTCCCAGGTTGTGTGTATCAAACAGTTATTTCTTCACATGTTGTTAAGGTTGACCACGTGTGTAGCTAACATGTCTTGTGGTTTGGTCTGAGGACCCCCGGCTACTCCCGGTCCAGGGTTGTTCTTGTGGTACAGCGCACTCTGAACTCGCACTGCATACTTGATCGGCTTGGTGACGCTGCAGCGGCATAAAGGAAGGTTTGTGTGAAACGTCATTAACATGTAGTATAATTACAATCTTATATCTTGTCCATATATTTCCATTATCTACCAAACCCGTTAAAACGGTCAATCGGCAAAATGGAAGAATGTATGTTAGAAACGATAGGATCACATTCGTACCACTTGATTAGACAGCAGCAGCATGTAATGAAGCCCGCCACCACCGTCACCGTCACGACTACGCCAATGATGATAGCAATAGCTGGAACAAAGACGAGATCAGAATTGTTGAACAAGTCACTAGTATATGGAATTTTTTGTTGAAGAATTGTGCGACTTAAGAGCAGATAATATATACAGTGGTTATAAATGGTGATAATATGTGTTGAATCTTCAAAGTCGACACAGAGCATTTGTTACCAAACAACGAATAAGCCCGGACACGCGCTCAAGATACAGTGGGTCTAGTACAATCCATCCCTGTGGCAGTGGAAAAGGGTTATATTATGGAATAGCAATATATAAACGTTAACACCCTTCCAACGTGTGGTCACAAAAACAATCATCACTCCGTACACCGATGTCATAATACGTTGACATACTAGTCGGATACAAGTTTAGATTAGAACCAAATGTAGTCTGAAGCTTTACCCACTTGATGAAGATGTGTCGTTCATGCATGGAATGTACATTTCTTTGGTTCCTACAACGAGCAATACATGTTGATTACAAACAACATAATTCAGTACACATTATAATAACAAGTGATTTCCTCAGGTGTATGATCAGTAAATGTAAAAATTCATAAACTGAGTCCAGATACTTATTCTGGTGAAATACAAAAGGGGATTCCGGATATTTCTGTTGGTCACAACTCCAGTATACACAGGATCTTTTGCCGTTGAACGGTGTACTGTAAAACGTTAACGTAGACGTCAACGACATAGTAGTAGCAGAGGGAAATGTAACTGTTGATATGATTTACTTCTGTATTTACAAAGGATTCACTTCTCAGTATTATTATAATTTCCTCTTGAGTATGGATACCACCTTAACATGACAAACAATTTCTGATCTGTTTATGAGTTCGCGGCGCGAATGTGTGCTTTCCGACCATACTTACTGTTCCCGCGAAAATCTTGACCAGCTGAAAATGCAGAGGAATGCGTTAAATGTTCCAAATCACAAATTCGATGAGAATGCGGAGCCCAATATAATCATAATGTATTATGTTCAGCATACCAAAGTAGAGTAGGAATACTGGACTAGGCCCGGTAGAGTCGGTATCACAGATTATGCGGTCAGGCCGGGGGACGTATCTGATTGCATGTCAACGTATCCTGGGTCGTGAATATTTACAAACAATTACAGGTGAGTGAAATAAATTAACAAAACGGATATGAAATTAGTGAATCGGCTAAAAGGATGACAGTATGACAGTTGGATATAGAGGTAGATGACAGTTGGATATAGAGGTAGGAGTGAGTGAGTTTAGCATTACGCCGCTTTTAGCAATATTTCAGCAATATCACGGCGGGGGACACCAGAAATGGGATTCACACATTGTACTCATGTGCGGAATCAAACCCGGGCCTTCGATGTGACGAGTGAACGCTTTAACCACTATGCTACCCCAACGACCTTATAGAGGTAGGAATGATGAAAAAAGGGGCAATTCGGGGGTCTGTGATGTCCCTTAGGGAGATTACACAATGTTAGGTACATTTTTGTCAAATAAGGAAGGGGGGGCAAACTGTGATTCGAACCAGCAACTTGAGTTTGTTTCGTGCCTGTGAGAAGCAAACGCGCACAGTTAACGGTGACGTTGTGGCGACCTGGACACCCCCAGCCACACACCCATTGTAGCTGATCAATCAATATGTAGCACTAACACAAATATATTTATCATTTCAAATAATGTATACTTACTGCTGTTTATTTTACAGACATAATGACGCAGTTCCTCACAGCTGATTCTTGTGAAGGTATTAACACCTGTCGAATCTTTGAAAACAAATAGTTTGTGGATTAATCAATTACATTTAGTATATCGAGTTATAGAATGCAATACTGATACAATTTCATGAAATGACAGCTTCTATGAAAACACATACATGTGCAAAACAGCGTATTAATGAATTTTACATGTATAACATTTTCAGATTCCCATCCCCCAGATAGTGTTCATTAACAGAAGCGTGATTTGCAAGTTGAATCATCTGTTGCAATCGAACCCGATTCAACAGCTTGGCGAACGAAAGCCCTGAACACTCGCCTAGTCCACCCGTCTACACAGTTTATATACATATGTGTGTTTCAAGAAAAGTGGAGGAATATCCATCCCCAAATATCAGCAGTGCATATATTTTATGACATTACTATATATACAAACCTGTCACCGTAGACTTGCAGCATCCATGTAAGTCTCCACAGTTGACGCCCTTAGGACAGGAACCTGGAACAGTGTGAAGGAACGTTGAACATAGAAAGATTAGTCTGTCGTGATGCTGCATACGCACATCATCGCCGTTATGTGAGCTGCCATCCATTTACTCTTTACACACCCCTTGCTGTAACAATGTTGTGGCTTGAGGGTCATACCGATAGAGCAGGACATGCTGACATGTATACGGCAACCTGGTTACATAACTGATTTCCACCGATTCATTCAGATATATCTCCTTGCAAGTGTCTCTTTCCACCAACAAGAACGAATAGATGCATAATGCATACATGTAGGTAAACAACTGATGGAGATTGCCTATCTGAGTGAATGTACACATTGCCGTATACAGCCAGTAAACCATCATGACTGTGGCAGCTACATGTATCATTGCCTTATCGCCACGTGTTTGCTCTTATGTAAATATTAGTGGTTTATGTTAAGATATTGATGATATGAACCTGACCAAATGATTATGCGTTGTCCTTCTGTATGTGACATTAATGTGATCTACTTACGGTTGTTGTTGACGTCAGTAAGGCACGTTCCGGCCACGTCCAGATCTGTAATAAACGTAACAATGAACCGTTAATAACGGTCATTTACAATCTATGACGAACGTATAATGTCAAACGTTCACTGGTCTTTGTAAAACTCAAACATATATTTACCCTTTATCAAATATACTAACGATTTTATTTAAACATTAAAATCATGAACATTTGATAAGCGTACTTCTCTCTAAAGTGCTTGCACTATTCGTAAACATCCATATGTCTCCCAAGTCTTGTATCGCTAATTCCATGATACGTAGAGCATGGGCCATCTTCAGGTCATCAATGCTGAATAAGACCCCGCTTCTCTCCTCACAGTTTTTCTTCGCCATCGCTGCACTAGCGGGGAAGCAGGACCCATGGACACTGGGCAATACTGTAAAGACATCATGGAAACACAGATTTCAAACAGATGTTAGCATACAAAAAACAAGTACACAAACATAACAATCAAGGAAAAACTCCATTCCTTGATTCATGGGGCTTTGTAAACAAACGTGGTGAACAAAGATATACCTACATATCTATCTTCAGAGGTTCAGGACAATGTGTAAAAAAATGAAAGCAAATGTCATTTCAAGTTTACCGAGAAAACAATATGTGAAATGCTGAACTTTCTCATTGATAACATCTTTGTGAAATGTGGGGGTAAAACATTTCGCCAAGACGCAGGCATCTCCATGGGAACCAATTGTGCCCCCCTCCTTGCGGATCTGGTTCTGTATGCATATGAATCAAAACATGGTAAGTTGGCCAAGAAGTTTAACTTAATAAGCTTCCGGTACATCGATGATTTAATATCGTTCAATAACCCTCAAACAGCTAATTGCCTTTCACTGATTTACCGACCTAAACTTGAAATTAAGGAGACAAGTGAGACTGCCTCAACTGTTTCATGTTTAGATCTACGCATAAAGATTCAGAGTGACAAAAAATCTACACAAGGCTGTGCGACAACAGGGATGATTCCAATAGTCAAGTTCCCTTTCATGTCGAGCAATATTTCAACAGCTCCAGCCTTTGATGTTTACATTTCACAAATTTTGAGAGGCAATCAAGGAGGTGCTCATTTTATCAGGATTTCATAGGGCCTCATGCCACTCTTGCTCAGAAGTTGTTTGATCAAGGCCTCAACAAAAGCCTTCAAGAAGTTTTATGATAGACATGTGGAGGAAATTTCAAAATTTGATGCAATAGTGACAAAAATGATGTCCGATGCAATTCCCTATTTTGACTTATACCATACGTTCCCGAATTATTTCAGGTGAACAACTGACTAGACTTCGCATATGTTTATGACGGTTCTGCCGCTTCTATGTAGTACAGATATCAATAATACGAAATGATTAGCATAGCATAACATGCACATAATGTTCCACATCTATACTATATATTTCAGCATCATTTTTGTCCTATGTCAGCAATGTTGAGAATGAATCGAAACATCAAACAGGTGTTAATTATAAATACTTCAGGGCAATGTTTAGTCAGTCATTGACTACATCACACATTAAACAAGCTTATTATCAAGATATATCACTTTCTTTTCCGCAGCAAATATTTTTAAAGCTTTACTACTAATTGAGTTACATGCTAGTAATCAAATAAAGTCAGGCAATGCCATTCCACGGTCACACGTGTGATACCTGCCATATAAAAGGATGTGTTTATGATCCAATAAACACACGCGAAGTCCAGTCAAGTGTTCTCCAAACCAAAATAACGTTTCAGCGGGCACCTTCTCCCCATCTTGTCTAACGGGATCAACACGATTACATGATTAACGAATCCCATCTTCCTCATTAATATCATCACAACACGAAGCTTTTGCCAGAGTAAATGTAACCTTGTTGAAAATGAATGCACGTGTATCATTCGTACTATTTAATATTAAAGATACCACAGGTGAGGCAATACTAAACCACTGACCTCAAAATGACCTCGGATCATACAGCAATCCTAAATATGACACACCACGTAGAGGATAGTGGGAGCCATCAAGACATGTCTTCAGATCCATGCGGTACTAGCAAAATGTGATAATATGGGCATCAGTGTAGATGATCATAATTATCTTGCCGGTTCCAAAGGTTGTGGCACAGTACGTGGTTAAAGTCTTTGGGAAAATTTGCATTTTGCAGTCAATGTCCTTAAACCGCCTCTACTAGCCAGTAAACGTTCAATATGGGTTCAGGGTGATTAATGTCAGCATTACTGACTGACTGAGTTTAGTTTTACGCCGCTTTTAGCAATATTCCAGCAACATCACGGCGGGGGATACCAGAAATGGGCTTCACACAATGTACCCAAGTGGGAATTCGAAGCCGGGTCTTCGGCGCGACGAGCCAACGCTTTAACCAGTAGGCTACCCCACCGGCCCAATGTCAGCATTAGGTTCTAGACAAGACATTACATTGCGGTGAGGGGAAATGGTTCACAATCATGTCACGATCGAACCCAATACGCGGTGCAATGATGTTTTAGTTTACTGAAATGTAGCTATTTCTTCTGTACTAGTATATTTTTTCTAAAACAACAAAATGGTCAGCATTATGCAGTCCTCTAACAAATAGCAATCGCAAGTGGCTCACATAACGACAGGAGCGCACAACACGGACACACGCACGCACACGCAGATCCTACCATAAACAACACACCATTCGTGCAATGAGTACACGACGTACCTGCCCGGCGAGTACTCACTGGATGTGAACCTCCCAATATCATCAGTATCAACTCAAGCCTTACAAGAGTAGCACAGATTATACCAGCTACAACTGTGTTCATCATGTTCGACAGGTTTGTGTACAGTGTTTCCTTGTGACAGCGAGGGGGGAGTTGTAACTTCGACATCTCTTCCTGGTATTCATATAATAAGGGTTGAAAAAATCTATGAATATAATCTATTTCGTTTTTGTCACAACGTAACTAATTGTAGTGGTAATGGAGCAGTCAGCATACAACGGCAACGGCAACAGCAACAACAACAACAACAATAACGGCAACATAGGGGAATAATCAGTATAAGGTTATTGGAATGGAAATCATAATCACTGGAAACCCCCTGCAAATCAGTGACAGCATCAGCTTTTCGCAAAACATGATCTGCACAAAACACCAAATACCTGCTTGTTGCCTAACTTTGTACACAACTACTGATGGTTGTGCTACGTCGGCATGTAAATAAACCACACAATCCAATGATAGATCAGACAATCATGTGACATAATAACACATATGTTGACTTGCATAAATATATAGCATGTCTTGGTTATTTTAAACTGTGTCTGTTGTGTACAAGTTCAGAAATTAATGAGTGAAGAGACCGGAAGATACATATATACAAGTAGCATTGTATACGTACAGGGCACCTCATTGTATCATGTTATATGTTCATTTCGTTTAATATTTATTAATCAAATAGACATAAGCATGTCACTGAAAAGACTTCAGCCCATATTTTCAGAGTTGCAGGCGCCAATTGCAAAATTTGTAAATTATCAATACCACAAACTGTAAAACATGATGGCACGTTTTAATGGCACGGGCATGATGGCACGGGGTAATATATCACCAGATGTGAAGAGAGCAACAGTTTTCGAATATTATTGTTTAATACACACATGCATTGCCGTTGTGTGGAGATCAAAATAAATCAGATGTTAATCGAGTTCTTTATGAACGGGGTAATATAGTTATCAATGCTGACTTACTTGCAGCCACTAGAAATAATTATGAATACCATTAATATTGTTTTCCATATCAAGTCAATACAAGGCAATTCAAGTAAAGGCCAGTTTGACGCTAAAGCTGATCTTAACCAACAGGAAAACAGTGCTGCGAAACCAATCCATGCAATCTCTGGGATAGCTTTGTAACCGAGGTCATGGTGGGAGACGGGTGTAAAGAAAATGTGGATGTTATGAACTGACTTGTTTTATATGTACAGCAAAATGCAATGAAAAACATATATGCGTCAGGTCTGGGAGCATTCTAGTGAGGAAATATTTCTAAATTAGTTTTCATTTTTATTTCCCTTTCAAAGTACTCAAATTAAACAAAATAAAACCAGTAGGTTCCTTGTTGACAGCTTTGACAACAACAACAAAAACAACAACAACCGAATCTCTGTTTTCATGTTACTTATGAATGTTTATTAGCCAATGTACACGAACTAAATCAAACCCAATCAACAAGCCTCAATAAACAGACATGTCACACCAGTCGACACAACGTGTCGTGCTGATTAGGATTATTTCTCAGTCCCGCAGTACTCGTTTGTGTCTCGTGACTGGTATTCTTGGATTCGAACACTTTAAGATAATTACACGTATATGAGAAACACCTCTCCACTGAGGCAACAACACGGTCACATGTGCTACTTTGGGGAAATGGGTAAACCTATAGTTGTCAGAATGATGCGAGACTATCCTGGTCATACACCAGACTAGTGAATCGCTATTTCCTCAAGGGTTTTAGTGTGATGTACAGTGTACATATCATATGTACAGATGATGACTCTACTCTTCCCCTTATTCCATCACGTTATGTTCTGAAAGATAAAGAGTGAGTATGGTTTTACGCCGCATGCAGTCATTCACCAATTACAACCATTTCGAGACTCGAACCCATCAGTACGATACTATGAGCTTTAACCGCTCGCTCGCCCACCCAGAAGCTAGGATTATAAAGGTATAAATACACATATATATTCGAAGTTAGTATGGCAGTGTCTCTTGAACTGCTTATTGCTAGTATCTACTGGAACTATAACCAGTACTACTACTTGCTGTCATTGTACATTCACATAATTGTTTTGATATACACCAGGTATAGCAGTTCACGAAAATATATATCGTACCGGTTTTGGAAACAGTGAGTTATGATAACACGATGGCCGACATCACAGCGACGACAAAAGCAGGCGTTATACCTGAATATATAACATGTCACACAAAGATGATTGGTTTACTCACTGTTACGTTATTGTAATAATTATTTTAGAAGGGTTCTCTACCATGGTAAATAATACAGAGGCATGTGTGACAATCTGTAAATAATGCATTTTTAAAAAGAATATACATAGATATATAAAATCATAACAGTTATGTTGAGGCAGGCCTGCAAATATCAGCTGATGATACCCATCAAGGATATCAATCACTTGACGAAAGCCTATCATAAAATACACATGGAGCTACATTCTCGCATTATTTCAATTCACGAAACAATAATTATATTTATAATTAAGACACCTTCATATGTCGGTGGGCATGACGCAATCGTTCCTGTGTGTTGTAGAAGCAATAAATGGAGTATTATATTTTGACATGTTATATCCGATAAAGTGTGTTTACCTAAAATTACACAGTGACTAATTTGTAACAGTTCGCAAAAAAGACGTAACATTAGATTTCAATGTCCTCCCGAGAAGTAACACTTCCCCACAAGGAAGTTGAATATATATCGACAATAATTAATGTGCGTATGTATAAAATGAATACCATATTTTTCCTCACACATTCTATTCCGTTTTTCGCAAAATTTACAAAGCGCATCAAGCGTATATGTGCATCGGTATGAAACTGAAATATTTCCGTTATGCAAAATAAACCCTCTGTTCATTTCCTCGCTCGTTTTAAAAATAGAACCCAAATGCTAAACGATACACAATCTCGATTATCCTTAGAAACATATTGTTTTCGGTGCAGGGGAAAAAAGCTGTGAATATTATATGAATGGATCACTGAAAACAGTGATGACAGCTACAGAATAAGGAACAGGCCTAATGTGCTATGGTAGAAATGTTTAGACATTCGCAAAGTAGGAAAAGAAGTTGAGCACAGAGGTGATTGTTATGTAAACATATGAGAAACTGTACACTGGATCTCTGAGCGATGAGAGATCATGGATGTCAGTCTTATCCAGTCCTAACCAGTGTCTCAACGCGATGAACTGATGCTATTCGAAGAGACATTATTTTACATTTTATAGTACATATCTTATATAGAAAACAGTGAAGACACGCAATGCAATAGCAAATGTCATTACAGAATGAACAGAAAAATATTACCTTTGCCAGGTGAGTCGTTTGGACACGGTATATACCAATCAGGATCTGTCGATGTACAGACATTCGTGTTTTCAGTTTGCATTGCATTGGTTATTGTAACAGTTTCAGTGCACTCAACTTTGATGTGCTAAAACTGATACATGTAAACCGACGTGCAAAAGAAAGTACACAGGTGTAATTGTTGTTGCAAACCCAAATATGCGTTCTAACTAATAAAATTATTGAAAAACATTGATTGTATAGAACGCAACCATCATGTTTCATTTGCCAAAATGCAACCAAAAACATTTGTACGTGTTTTTTACGAATTTTTGCAAAATTGTGATTATTGTCCCATGCACCAGCACTTTTCTGACAGAGAGTATAAAACCTGTTTGTCGTGAAGACTGAACAATCACTTGACAGAAATCTCACGAGGAAATGCCAAGATTGACGTCGGCGCAACGAGAACGGGCCAAAGGAATGACACAAATGGGTGCTTTCAACAGCGATATTGCAAGGACATTGGGTTGCACAAGACAAGCCATAATTCGGCTGTTTAACCGTTTAAGTACGACAGGCCAGACGTGTGATCGACCCAGAAGTGGACGTTCCAGAGTCACAACACCCCAAGAGGATCGCTTTCTGCGGGTTATTCACCTACGCAACTGGATGTTGACGGTGACGTCATCAGCAGCCACATCATTGGGTCATTGCGTAAGCCGATTCACAGTGACAAGACGACTTCGTCCTGCTGGCATGTATGGGCCTACCGACCGCTGCGTGGAATGGCCTTGACCTTCCAGCATCGTAGGAACCGTCTGCAGTGGTCATCACCACATCGCTGTTTATTGTTACAATGTCATTTTGCTGATAAAACACGTGTATTGCAGTGTGCTTCAACATACATTTTCCATTTCATCAAAAGGTTTTGTTATTTTTATCTTATTGGAAGAAACACAACCTGTGTACTTTCTTTTGCACATCAGTTTATTTGATACTTAATATCAAACCAGACGGGAGAGATGCTCCGTCTAACGGTGCTAGTTTTGGTACATGCATGTCCAATGTCAATATGAATTCTCACTGCCAGAGGGGAGATATTACTTTAGTTGGGTAATTCTATTCCTTCGGTTATACTCTCTAACGTATTGAAATATACAACTGAGGTATAAGATCGGTTCGTGTGTACTCACTGCTTCCTGTTGTGTTCGACGTGCAGAGATAATGGTTCTGCTCTGTACAACTTGTCATGTTGAAGGTGTGACTCTCACTGACAGCTACGAGGCAGGTACCTGTCGAATAATGATAACCATGTCGTAAATAATATCTACACGATTGACGTGTTTTGTCACCTTTCTTTGGCATTTAGTCGCAATAGCAATAAACTGAAACAATTATTGTAAAAATCTATCGTTTATAGTATGCATGCATGTAGGTGTGCATGTGTATGCATGTGTGTGCATGTGTGTGTTTCCATTCAATTATCATGCATCTTGCCGCAATTGACAAAGTCTTGTGGAAACTGCGACATGATATTACCATTTAAATCATTTTCGATCCATATTGTTCCATGATCCGCTTGTGCTTTTTTCAAAGCATGGCCGCCAAGTGATGTTGCTACATCAACGAGGGTGAATACAGCGGCGCCCTTCATTCTGCAGGCTGTGTCCGCCAAGTTCCAGTTCAGAGGGACACAGGAAGATTCAAACGACAAGTTATCTGAAGGTAAAATATTTCAATGCGTGATGGGTCAATTTTATTAAATAATATATCTTCTGATAACGTAACAATCTATTAATACACATGCTCTTTAAAGATTTGCATAATCAGAAATCCATGCCAATAAGGTCAATCTGGAATACACTGGCTTTGCATCAATTCTTCAGTAGATCAGTTTAAAACAGATATTGTACAGTGTATAGTACAGTGTTATGTATGACCCGCATAGACGTGATACAAGAATAGTGTAACCATGACTTTGATGGAGGTGAACTGATGTCAATAAAGTGGATCTTTTACCGATTCCTTGGCACAGTGATAGTCTACAAGTGGTCAAGGAACTGTATACCTGGATTGCGGTTTGGAGTTGTGGCGAAACGTGTAGCAGGGGGTCACTGAACTCTCTGAAAAGTAAAATAAGGCCCTGCTTGTACTTACATTTGAAACGTGACATTGAATGTACAGGTGTTTTGGCACTCACCTACCCAGAGTTCCATGCGGCAAGCCAGCATAGTACCTCTGCCACAGGCCACAAAAATGTGACGATTCGTCACATCTTGCAATGTCCATTCAATATAATGTACAGATTTCTTTTACTCTTTTATTTTTGACGAGTCTACACATCTAACTAAACATCTTTAATAGAATGGTTAAGTTTCGCTGAGAAAACATCCCAAAACATGTAACACTATTTAGATTTGCGTACAGATCCTTTGTTTACATAGGTTGTACGGCTCCACGTGCAGTCATCGAAGCCGACGGAGAGCAAACGATGCAACCAGTTTGATATCTAAATATGTACTGTCATAGACCTAACTGTCGCAGTTGTGGAAGATTATATATTATGTAACAATGTAAAACATTATGAAGAGAGCGCCGAAAAAGTTTTCGTGAGCCCAGTCTCTTATTATTATGAATATGCGCGTTTGATAACAAACAAGAGAAAAGTCCGGTCACGTGATATGCAAATTAGCCTGTGGCTGTGATGTTATGTTAGTCATCGCTGTGCCGGAGTGTGGTGTTTTGGATTATTAAGAAGACTCAATACCGTCACATCTGACATTACTGAAGTAAGGTAGCCAGGAAATAATCAGGTGTGGGTCTGACCAACAAGTTGCAGCTGTTATCAAGCTCAGCATCCATGGAGATGGAAGTTAAAATGATAATGATGACAACACATCTGATCAAATTACACTCTACTCTCTCTACAGTGCATTACTTTCTACACTTCTAATTAAATTGTAACACAAATGTCTTTACCAACCTGACATGGAGTGTTTTACAGTACAGTTACCGTGTTCCGCACACGCCAGTATCAGACCCGTCATTATAGAGCCAACCCATTGTTGACTGGACGACAAAGCCATCTGTCACGCTCAATGTACGCGAGCACACTAAGATCTAAAAACGTCCGTTTACTGAGTAATGGAAATTGATTTCCTTGTTCGTTTCAGTTTGAAATATATATGCCTTATTACGGAAAGGATTAATATAAGAACATGGACTTTGATGGTGGCGTACACGTCTCCCGATCATGTCCAAGACGTATTTGGTTGGTGAAAGGACACATCTCTATTTCTAACGGATTCCTTGGTGGCGTACATGACGCATGCTTATTGTTGAGTTGAACAGTTTTATTGTCAGATATTCATCAGCGCCTACCTGCTGTGTCATTGGCGATAGATGGGATCACATATCAGACGTGGTTAGTATCAGAGAGTTTAGATGGTGGGCACAATTTTACCTTGGGTTTACTGTAGGCAATGGCCGTACCTAGATAATAGCAAACTGATACGTGAAATGTCTTCAAAACTCATAGTCATACATATATGACAAGAAAATAATTAATTTTTTAAATATAAGGAATAAGATATTAATATTTGATCGCACATAACACGCATAGCAGAAGCTGATATGAGTTATTACAGTTTCTGTGGGTAACCAAAACTGGGTATACTTCTGCTGACATTTTGTATTTAGAACAGAACACGTATGCACTGGAAGCACAACTCAACCCATAATCACATTGTCATCAGAACCAGGGTTAAGTACACACGAGAAGTTTTGACACAACAGGAACTATGTTACAAAAATATTGTCTTATTTTGAACAGGAAAAACAGGACCTAATTTGTCAAGTGAATCAGCAACTTTATGTGTTCCGCTGTGAAAATACACTATATTTATTGTTACCGGGTCGATAAACAAGGTTCTTCTGTATTTCAGTGACCGTGTGGTATAGATTATCTTATAGCAAGCTTATATTTATGTGAAGGTGTTTTAGTTATACTGATGTTCACGCAGAGGGTTTTTCAAAATACTAGTAGTTATATTTATATATTGCTTGTGCATTTATAGATATATTTGCCACCCTATGATTTGTAAATATCTGTAAGTTATGTTTATGTGATATCTTGGGTAGATTATGTTCAGCTCTTCCTCCGGCTGTTGACATCCCCTCCATTCATTTTGTAGTTTAGTAATATCTTACATATACAAACCTTCCAAGGGCAACCATGAATGAAGCAGAGGTACCGTGAGTTCCCATGGTCATCAGCATGGTGATCTTGCCTTTCTTGTTGGTGATCTATAGCCCCATTACTACTTTTGTATCGTAAACAAATAATCAGATATTTCATCTTACAACTAGTTTTAACACATTCGGTGTCATATTGCTGGTTATTATACTGTCTCACGATGGCAGTCTTTAAAGGATTTTTAAAAGGGTCACTGTACATTGTTTATAATCGACTGACTGACTGACTGAGTTTAGTTTTACGCCGCTTTTAGCAATATTCCAGCAATATCACGGCGGGGACACCAGAAATGGGCTTAGCACATTGTGCCCATGTGGGGAATCGAACCCGGGTCTTCGGCGTGACGAGCCAACGCTTTAACCACTAGGCTACCCCACCGCCCCTATAATCGATCTTAATGAACACATAGATACATATAATACACAAAAATACAGTTATAAACAGTAATACTTCATTATACAGCTTCTATTGTGAATCTAAAACGCACGTCCCTCGAAAGCATTTCGCCTTTTCGCAAGATAATGAGGTAGGCGGTCACGTGGTCGCGTGACGTCATACCCGAGAGTCGCTACATATTTACAGTGGTACCGAGCCTGTGGTACCGAGCTTGTTCGCTTTGTGAGGCCTGCTTTAAGTTTAGCAAATAAATCAATTCACGAAGTACATTTTGTTTTGGCAACCATAATAATAATTTTCTTTGAAATCTGCTCTAAAAAAGTAAGTACTTTTGTCTTAACAAATACTGAGAGGGAAAAAGATCCAGTGTCTTTGCAAACAAGACTTAGTGTTGACTCATTAGTTAGGGTAAAACATGCAGTAATAGGAACAGTGGGTTTTTTTCAAACTGGAGTGCACAGTTCAAAAAAACATTATTGACTGTCTGAAATATATTTACGTGTTGGTTTCTTGTTCACTGGCTTGGCCTCTTTGTTTAGGCCTAGGGGATAGCTGATTGCCCACTTGGGTTCTCCAGTCTTGGTCACTTCTAGGGTATTTAGGCTGTTTTCATTGATGTGAAATGCTGCCATGTACATCCTAAAACTAGCATTAAAGTGGCATTTTTACATTTGCCAAAAACAAAACCCACAAAGAAATACATTATCTGAAGGAACATATACTCTTGCCCACATATACTCACATATGCTCATGTACACTCATGCCCAACCCCACACACCCACCCCACACACCCTCTCCAATTAAAAAAATTGAAGGGGGTGAGAACCATTATTGGCATGAGTATATTTCCCTGATTTCCCCTTTTTTTGTTAAAGAGGGTTAAAAGTTACCTATATATATATATACATCTGCCATGATGTTTTCACAAGGGGTCCGTAAATACCTAAGTTTTATGCCAGTGCAGATCAGTTGATAATTATCTGATATGACTCAATTATGTTTTAAAAATGTTGTGCTCTCTCTCACCACCGCACTCACATGTTGCAAGTTCTCATTTGTCCATGCCCACCGCCATCCCAATCCCTCCACACACACTCACACCACAACACACCCGTCTCGGGAAATAGATGACTTGGCCCTACTGAGAAACAGTAACAGTGGCTGTGAAAATATATCCCTGGTCGAAAATAGGACATGAGCGCAAATTATGACGTACTTTTTTATCAACTATAGCTTTATATAGCTAGCTACTGGAGTGTTTATGTTGCTCCAAAACAACTACATCTTAAAACTCACCTGCAACCAACGTCGCGTCCGGAATGCAACACTCTCGGTCTCAGTCTAAGTTGACATTTCTGCCTCTGTGTTTGTTTGGAATATCAAAAGGAATGCCCGATGTAACATCCTTATAAAGTTTAAGTTTTGCCTATTCGTATCCATATTTCGCCAGAGGTTAGGTCTCTTTCATAGCACTTCTTCGAAAAGTGTAACGAACAGATGACCGTGCGTGGAGGGCTTCACAAAATCAAACATATGCCCTTCCTTTTGTCAAATGGAATTTCTCAGGAAATGTACTTCCGTGTTGTTTAGGCAGTTGGATAACCATCAAAACCTGAAGTGCAGTTGTCAGTTTCCAATACATAATCACAACAACGCTTCATTCAAAATATTGCACTTCGTGTCACTTTCAACTCGATGGCGTATGCACACAGGCCCCCACTGCGGGTCAGAAAATCGATAAACTAGGCCCCGGTTTAGTATCAACACACCCTACTATATAATACATAAAGGTTCATCACAGAAATACGGGATGCATTTGATGGTTTTTATTAAATTGCCAAAGACCGAGTTGCTGTGCCGGAAGTATACAAAACTAGGTCGTCAGCGCTTGACTTCACTACCTCCGGCGATCTGATTGGCTAACACATTACACTGAGTGAATGTGTTTCTTTAAAACATATTTGTACTCGTTTTTAAAATTATTCTTACCAAGATAAAACATCAGATAGTGACATCTTGGATGATAGACGTTTGAGTTTCCCTCTCATTTTCGCACGTGCATTTGTTGTCATTTTATTAACCAATTTGATTGCGCTGACGACCTAGTTTTGTATACTTCCGGCACAGCAACTCGGTCTTTGGCGATTTAATAAAAACCATCAAATGCATCCCCACGGAAAGCGCATGTATATGCCTCCTACATATATCGGAGATATGGACAAAAGCTTTTGATACTTGTGAGACCTTTAAAATACGATATATACATTGACATGTCCGTAATTGTCCGGTTTTCGATCATGTCACCGTATTTCTGTGATGAACCTTTATGTATTATATAGTAGGGGGTGTTGATACTAAACCGGGGCCTAGTTTATCGATTTTCTGACCCGCAGTAGGGGCCTGTGCGTATACACTACTGAAATGTCAACACACTGAGCGGACTCTCGGGTATGACGTCACACCCACTGACGGCAGACCGCTAAAAAATAAAAATATGCATACGCGTGGGCGGAGCTAAAGTGGTTTTAATTTTGGTGCATATTTACAATTTTTACGACCATTTTTCATAAATGGATGGCGCAGATTAGGTATATGTTCGTTCATGTTTGAATGACATTATGTAATAAAAATGCATGGTGTTTAACCTTTTAATAAATCCTTTAAGGTATAGCTGCAGTAAAACTTGTTCCACGATGGCAGTGTTTAAGGTATAGCTACCTACAGTAAAACTTGTCCCACGATGGCAGTGTTTAAGGTATAGCTAGCTACAGTCAAACTTGTCCCACGATGGCAGTGTTTAAGGTATAGCTAGCTACAGTAAAACTTGTCCCACGATGGCAGTGTTTAAGGTATAGCTAGCTACAGTCAAACTTGTCCCACGATGGCAGTGTTTAAGGTATAGCTAGCTACAGTCAAACTTGTCCCACGATGGCAGTGTTTAAGGTATAGCTAGCTACAGTAAAACTTGTCCCACGATGGCAGTGTTTAAGGAATAATTTACAGCTTCCGACCTCGTGTATTATTGTTAAATATAACAAAACATACGGCTTATAAAGAGAAGTCAACATGTATTGAAAAATAACTCATTACTTTTAATGCTTATTTTGTTCACATACATAAATACCCTGAAGAAAATATTGCATTGATACTGAAGCCAGTTGAGGAAGTAGTTGACGACAAAGCAATCACATGTTAATGTGATGTGTCAGTACAAATTCAGGAGACAAATTCGTTCACATGCTAAGGTTAAACGACATAGAAATATTGATTAAAGTAGCAAATTGTATATTTTAATGGTAGAAATGATGCATCGGGGCAGAACTACAGATGTGCACTGAACATATTTTGTTTGCAAGGAAAGACACAAATATGAACAACAATCAAAGTCAATTATCTTCACACAAACACATGATGTCTCAAACAGTAGTGAAATGGATGACAGCTGTATGAATTGGGCGCGTTTATGATATAAGCTAGGAGTATACAAAGTATGTAGTTACCACAATCACTTCTTAATTAATGTGCAATCTGGAAGAACATGCTAATTTTATTTACTTTTATGCGAATGAAGCATTTGAACAGTCTGCAGTCACAAAGTGATTGGTAATATATTGCAGATAACCAGAGACCTCTTGGTTGGGTGATCACTGTGATAGTGTATGGCATGATGAATACATTATAATACGTTCTAATGACAAAGGTATCAATATCTGAGGTCTCGTCTAAGCCGTACAAATCATACCTACATACATAACTGAGTGTCATCATCATATGAAATGACTCTTGCTACCTTAACGATACTGAACATGACAATGCGTTGGTAGTACTTGCAAAATCTTACTCCATGTGATAAGACTCTGCTTTACTTACACAGACAAATGTGATATGGTTATGAGCTAGTTGTACTCATGTGAACTCCAGGACATAGTTAGCATCTGTATTCGGCTATTCGCACATGGCCATTGGAGATATGCTAGTTTCCAAACATGTAAGTTACGTTGTCGTAGGTGGCGGACATGAAGACCGTGCCATCTTCAGGGGGACTGGGAGTAAGGTCCGTATGGCCCTCGGAGTGGTCAGATAGATCAGCAGGATCGTCAGACGTATCGCAGATTTCTTCCAGGAAAGCACTGTTATCAGTATCGACAGAACAAAGATCAATTTGTTCGACAGGGTGACCATCATCTTTATCTTGAGTCTGTAGCTCACTGTTGTCATCATTGTCAGATTGGGTACCATTGGGGTTCTGAACAGCATTTGAGTGACCCTCAGTCACTCGACCATCCACGCCGCGAAGTCTGAAACAGTATTCCAGTACCTTTGATAATAGCCGCTCCATAATATTTCATTGTGATAATACATATTATTTGGGGCACAGCTAGGAAGGTTAGTTCCTAGTATTCAGCTGACTTAGTACTCAACGTTTCGTGTCGTGTTGACAATCTTGGGAAAACCATGATCTTGGGGATACTGGGACACCAGGAATCAACGCTTTAGGAATCTGAGATACCAACCGACCAATGGTGTTTTATAAGCCAAAGAGAAGACCAGACCGCTCATGTCCCTCGTGGTAAGCAGTTAGTGAATAATACATACATTCTTAAATGTCTTACTAACCTTCTGACTGAGATATACGTGGCAATGATACTCAGGATGAGGACAAGTCCGACGCCCAGCACGGTCAGGTAAATATAACCTGAAAGATGACAAGAGTTTTTAAGGATACCATTTTCTGAAAATGTTAGTGTACCAGAACTCCTAAAATTGAAACCTTTGAATTAACTTGCCGTAATGAAAACACCATGAATTCCTTTCATAAGCGTTTCCTTTCCGGGTTCACCAGTTATGTTTCCTGGGGCGGTGGGGTAGCCTAATGGTTAAAGCGTTGGCTCGTCACGCCGAAGACCCGGGTTCGAATCCCCACATGGGCACAATGTGTGAAGCCCATTTCTGGTGTCCCCCGCCGTGATGTTGCTGGAATATTGCTAAAAGCGGCGTAAAACCAAACTCAGTCAGTCAGTCAGTTATGTTTCCTGTACAATTTGGGGGCACATTAATCAATTAAGACTTCTGTATAGGAAACGTGATATACATTTATCCACATAAATATATTCTAAAATAAAGACAATAATTACTCAACAACCCAAAATAATATATAAATGCCAGGAACGACTGTCCATACGAGGGAGCCTTTACACTTATAACAATGCAGCTATCTTCAGTCAGATGGAAACAGTTGGATTAGATGATCTTACTTTTACACATTTGTCATATCCTAACAATTCATTATCATTCAAGCTTAAAGTCGACACAGATGTCTCAAATAAAACTACATAGCGTCTCTGATACAACTCACCTGAACTTGAGGATGTTGGATGACTTTGACAAGGAACGTAATGTGGCTCCGAATCTATCCACAGAAATAATGATGCATTACCTTGTCGGATAATGATACCTTATTGCAACGAACTGTAGATATCACAGTCAGAACACTAACAATGTGACCGATGCAGTATTTGCCGTACAGATTTTCTAATAAGAAACAGGAATCAAATATTCATTGATTCAACTTGAAATATAAGAAATAACAATGAGCTATGTCATACCTTGTGTAGTTATTTTTTCCAGTAATTTATAAGATATATATAATTCAAAGTATGATTTCAGTTCCGATTGTCTTGTTTTTGCTAGGGCCATGACACATAAATACTTACCATTTGTCCGCCTCCTGTCTTCAGATGCTACAAGAAACAACATATAAGTAAGTGTGTGACCTATACGTTGTTTCTCTTCTGTAGTACTCCAATCATCATCACAGCTAGCCACTCGGGTCTGATATCGATACTGATGTAGGCGTGGGTCTGTCATACCTAGAAATATATTCGGGGCGAATATTGGAATCGAACCCACGTTCAGTGGTTTCTGACCCACATATGCCACGAGATGGCATGCGCCACTAACTTGAATGATAAAATCGCTCTGTTCTCTTACAATCGTGTAATCTACATAACATCAGTTGTTTGGAAGGGGAGAAGTGTTTCATGTGTCCAATGCTCCGACGTTCGTTGTGCAGAGTCGCGTCCCTTGCGCCAGACACCTGTGATTTCCAGGTTTGTTGGCAGTATATGAATGCAGATAGGTTTTCCCGGATCGGTGGACGGCTGACACTTGTCCCACTTCGGGACTTTCTCCCACATTAAGCACACACGCCGTGATGAAGCTGGAATATTGCTTAAAGCGGCGTCAAAACCAGCTCAGTCATTCAAACTCTCACAACAGACATAATTGAAGTATACTAACGTTTGTTAAGCTTGCATACATAATGGTGTAATTCAGTGCAGTTTGTGTCCAGGAAACCGTTATCATCCGTATCTGCAATGAACAGAATTATAGAGTTGTGGACTGCACTTGGCCATCATATAATCAGTACATCTTTTTTTCTTTCATGTTGTTTAACGCCGCACACAGCAATATTCCAGCCATATGATGACCTTCCCCAAATATTAATCGCCAGCAGCTGACCTAATAAACGTCGATCTACTCAATTTGGACAGGCTGCAATTATATTTTAAATTACGTCATGTTAATTCTATAAAGGAAGTCTAATTTACTGGTATATGTTGGCACTCTCTCATATTGGAGCACTATATTTTGATTCCAGGATTAAGCAGTCACGAACACTCCTACACAGCAGGGTATATTTAACTGGCTGCTGGTGGTAGTAACGGGACGTGTAAATATATTGTTCACTGCACTAAACGGCACTAAATAAGTATAGACTTTTCCATCTAACTTTATATGCAAAGAGCAATCTAACTTCATATCCAAAGAGCAACGTTAACATTTCAGGGGATAGAAATACCTGTCCTTTGGAATATTTATCTGAAAGAATTTTTAGTCGAGTTTCTACCCGCCGTAATATTACAGAATCAGTATCCAGGGTCGTCATAAAATCTCAATTCCACATTTCTGTTGTTTTTCACCGTGATATTGCTTGAATATGTCTAAAACCACATTTACTCACTCATAATACAAAAAACATTTCCTATACTCACTGTTGCTCCTGTTATCTCCCGATCCGCTTGGCATCTGGGTTGTAGTCTTCAGTTTGACACCCACCCTCCAACACCCACCTGTGACATGAGTATTCTATTGCTACTTATGACTGACAATATTACCGAAATACTTAAATTTATTGCATTATGTCATGAAGAAACGGTTTGAATAAATGATGATTTTCCTTCATATGACAGAAACAATCGCCTGTTCTATTACCTTTATTTAATCCAGTTTGTGGATGAATATCCTCTCACAGTACTTGAATATTGCACTATCAAAGAGGAAAGTACCATCATTAGTTTGTTTTACAGTACAACCAGAAATTATTGAGAATTAAAAGATTGTAATTGTTTTATATTTTTCACTCATTACTCACGTATTAAATGTGAATATTAGCAGAACATAACTCCAGATTCAAAGACAGGTGAACAGTTAGTATGTTGTCAAGTCAATATGGGCAGCAATGCAGGCTTCAATGCGGCGGGGCATACTACTGATCAAAGAAGTTAGAAAGTCGTGGTCCATGCTGTCCCAATATCGGACCACCTCTTCTTTCGTTTCAGCAATATTTGTCAGATTTTTCTTATTGACACTTTTCTTCATAAGTCCCCAAACATTTTCTATTGGATTTAGGTCAGGATTATAGCTTGGCCAATCAAATAATGTCATATTTTGGGTCCGAAACCAGGCCTGTGAATGCTTTGAACGATGTTTTGGGTCGTTGTCCTGCTGGAAAATCCAAACATTTCCATAGAACACGTGAGCAGATGGAAGTAAATGTCCCTCGAGAATATCTGTGTACCGCTCACTTTTCATATTCCCTTCAAATACACAAAGGGACGTTGCCCCTAACACAGATATGCCACCCCACACGTTATATTTTGGACTGTACTTTGGGCGCTGATACAAAGGTTTTTCAGTTTGTGTGGTCCAGAATTTCAGTGTATTAGGAAACAGCCATACAGAACTTTCATCTGAGAAAATCACATTGTCCCAGTTAAACTTTCTATGCTGTAAGCTCCAGTTCAACCTTCGCTCCTTTTGTTCAGGTTTCATGATTGGTGATGGAATTCCTCGACTTTTCTGCCAACCCATTGCATACAGCTGAGTTCTAATTGTATCCTTACAGACAGCCACAGTTCCTCTATCAATCATATCCAGCCTTAAGTTTTCTAAACTCCTTCGTTTGTTTTTAGAAACAAGATCACCAAGCCGCCTCCTGTCACCGACAGTCAATTTTCTGGGCCTACCTGCGCCTCCCTGGTGCTCAATGCCATAATCCATTTGCAATATTTTTCAAAACACGATAAACAGTGGGCAAAGGGATGCCTGTTCTACTTTAGCTGATCTGATGTCCTTGTTATAATACTCTAAAATCAACTTCCTCTTCTCTAAATCATCCATACAGAGGATCACTGAAAATGTCGTCTGCTAGCAAGTAAACAAAGGGGGATAACTCTTCACAAACTAATGAAAAAGGATTGACAGAGTTGTCTCTCTTGAATGAAACCAAGCACTTGATAGCTGGTCAAGGTTGTTTATACTAGAAATCCAATTAAACATTTTCCTAAAATTCTCAATAATTTCTGGTCATACTATATGTCTATCTGCGTGCATTGTTTAATTATTTGTACTTTCTTGCTTTACAGCCAGCAATGTTGTGGTTATATCACTTCAATACAATATCGAATGAAACAAATCAGTGGTCCATCTTTTCAGGAACGCGGAAATAAGTCGCCGATACGATTTAGAAGCCTCTTATAGCAAACCACAGAATATTTTGATCGACCCCTGGAGTGGATATACAAAGTGTACACATCCACCGCACCCAGTACATACAAGCCATCAGGAGTTGCTTCCCTGTCCCAAATTTGGATAACGCGGTCCATTCAAACACAGTGGAAGCTCAAGCTCAATGATCTGCCCATTACCTGTTTTCTTCCTGCTAATCCATATTTCCCCGACATCTCGCAACGCTGCTTGCAGGATGGGCAGGCCGTAGCTTTTCTTCAGATCATCCAGCTCAAACATGGCTCCCTGTTTCTGTTTGCACGTCATCTGAGCCAGGATCCAGTGTGCAGGGTGGCACGATACGTGGAAACTCTTATTCCCTTCATGAAAACATAACAGGTGTGTCAGGTCAGAATTACATCTCTTTCCCTCTAAACGTTACATCAACAATTTCTTGGGTTCCCGGACGCACAAACCTCAGAACCAGCATGCACAATATGTAAAACTCTTGTGTATGCCGATTTGTTCCTGTATGACTCCATGCACGGCCAATCTAAACATAAACTCGATAATAAGCTTACGACTGCCTATTTCATTGTGGAACAATGTTATGCACTAAATCGAAATGACCAATAAATAATGAAGCGTAGTTATAGGAAAAGGAAAATCAAATCTCAAATAGATTGTCACAAAAATAACGAATATTTTTTTAATAAAAGGTAAGAAGTATTCCTAGCGTTATGTTAAAGGTCACATGCAACGTAAAACACAACTTTGCAGATTCTGATACCTTTCGGTATGGACTTACCGAAACAAAGCGTCAAAAATGCAAATTCAACTTATAAAGTTGAAAAATAACGCGATGAAAAAACCGCGCGAAATCGGAGTTCAAACGTTTCACTAATTTTCCCCAGACTTTTCTGGGGAATACGGGTTTCAACAGCTGGGCTGCGCTCATAGCACGTGCGCAGTGAAATAGGTTCGCGCAACTTAGAAGCGGGCTGTCTGGTGAATACTCGGTGAAGGCTTTGGTGTGAGCTATTTTCCTAATGTTTTGTTGATATCTCACAGGCGCGAGCTTTTTATATGTTATGACAGTAAATAAACTGTTTATATAATTTCATTTGTCTATTTCACCACACGTTCTTCTTACCGAGTCACTTTCTCAGTTCGATACTTAAAAGCAATGTCATTATTTAGCGTTGACACAATTTCTAACTGTGATATAGATATGTCGCTGTCACAGACAAAGCTCAATGTCTTGTTTTATTGACACCTGTGTGTCTGCCTGCCTGTCTGCTAATGACAATAATCAATACACAACTGCGATCACTGACCACATGCAATTTGAACTTAACACCAATCAGGCTATACACCATAAACAAAACGCATTGATTTATGGCCCGAGTTCGGTCTCTGTCACATTATGTAATTACACAGACAGGCAGGTGTGATACTTGAACACATTACATGTTATGATGTCTGTTGATTGCAAAATGTTATACACAAAAAATGAGCATGTATTTACAAAACCCAACATCTCTATATATACACACACAATGAGCTGTGAGGCGGCATCTGCTAATGAACCAGCCGTTACACTTGAGTGCACACCCACCCGCTCTGACTGGGTTTGGTATCCCGGCTGCTTCGTTTCGAGGGAGGTAAACCCAAAGTACAAAATATTGCACTTTTGATTTGCGATTATACGCTTATAATTTTGTTTATTTGTTTTTTCATAATCAGCAATGCATATTATATGTCATGAAGAAGTGATAATTGTGTTTTAATTATGTTTGATTTTTTGGTTGCATGTGACCTTCTTAACAAAACATTGTTCTATTTTGACCTCATGTCTGGATATTCGAACATACGCTCGCTACTTGCTGAGGTCTTTTATTTGACGATGCTACAACAGCCGAAAAATGGTGGGAGATATATATGGCCGGCAATTTTTTTTGATATATGTGGAAATATTTACGATACTAAAATACGAAACGCGCCTGTTCGTAACATGGGAGTGCAGATCAGTGTCTGGTGAGTCCTCCGTGTTGGGAGTGCAGATCAGTGTCTGGTGAATCCTCCGTGTTGGGAGTGCAGATCAGTGTCTGGTGATTCCTCCTTGTTGGGAGTGTATATCAATGTCTTGTGAGTCATCCGTGTTAGGAGTGCAGATCAATGTCTGGTGTGTCCATTGTGTTGGGAGTGCAGATCAATGTCTGATGTGCCAAGGTCTATGTCAGGCCAGTCCTATGTCCGTATGTCAGTTCATGTTTAGTTATAGGGGTTAAAAGGTCCGTAACATAATGACAAGATCTCATGGAAGTAAAACGTTACGTACCTGCGTTTGAACGACTCTCAATTTGTGTGGCATTAGCCATTATTATTGCCAATGTCAAACAGCAAGCGACCACTTGTCGTGGACAGGCCATTGCTATCACACTGTGACGCTCCCAGTGTCCGTGTTTATGAGAGGGTGAACATTTCAAACATCACATGAGATAGAGGTTAGGAGGAGAGTTTCGTTCGTACAGACAGCTGGTGGAAGCAGGAAGTCTAAAACCACCACAACGGCAGGGTCCTTTGTGTTTTTATTCACGACTGTGTTACTGAGTGGTGCTTCTTGTAGCAGAACATGAGAATGAGTGAATACATGACGCTTCATATACATGTACCTTATATGTTCATGTCGCCACTGCATTCCAGCGTCACATGACATGAACATCTTAGGGTGAAACAGGACATCATCATGTATCATTATGAGATGTATAAGCACGAGTAATTTGGATGATAAATAGGGCTGATCTGGTATATCTCTCGGTCTGTCGAAACCACTGCCGAGACACATGGTGCTGGATTACACCGAGACTTGACGAGACTTCGCAAGTGTACTATAGCTACAGTTAGACACTTATGCTCGATAGGAAATAACCTTGATGAGACAAGTTAATAATTCATAATAGCTTTAAATACAACAAAACTATACACATATTCCAGTCAACAACACTTAACCCTAGGACATTGGTGGCTATATTGGATGGCTTCTGAAAGTGAAACCTGCATGGATGCTGCAAAGCAACTAGCGATGATGAATCATTGTTATCTTTACACACTTCAGGGCATACAAATCAGTCGAAGCAATGTCATCACGAATCATTTAAGTTTGGATTGGTTTTAAGTAATGCCAAAATGATGTCTCTCTGCCTTTCGGTGTGGAAAACAACGCACAAGGTACAGAACTTTGACATTAATGAAACTTAAACTCCAAAGCCAATATATTTTAGTTTGCCCGTTCCTAGAAATTTCGATTCATATACATTGAGAGACAGCTAAACCGGGAATGATTACAATATTAATAGTCACCACAAGAGATGGGTACCTCCAGCCACAACATATTATCCAAACATTTCAAAAAGCTCTGCCATTTCCTAATTTGTTTCCTAAGCCAAGTTAAGATCGTTGATACTTGGTATAATTTTTGTCCTGAACATTTGATGATACAGGTGTAGACTACCGCCAGCGCGGCTCCGAGTTGTTTTTTCTGCGTTTAGTGTTTGATTGACAGATAAGCAACGCCTCGAGTCGTTCTTTTATAATCTTACATACACAATTCTTTAACAACCATCGTTAATGGTGCTCATTACGCTTACACGTTTAAAACAAATTAGAATGATATTTAACTTGATGACTCATAACACAGTTCATCTCGGCTATGTGGGATATGTAAGTTTCGTGAAGTTATGGGTTAAATAGCACAAGATAAAAGAAAGTGTGCAAAGTTGATGAGCGTTATCCCTACCCTTCCCCCGTTACAGTTTATTACATCTCGCCCCCTGTAAAATGCTATTGTTTGGCACTTCCGGTTTACCTGCGCTGCCCAGCAGGGTAACAACTCACTACCCTGATTATCACGTGCAGTTTAAATCGTCCACACAATCAAGGTTAAAGTTATCCCTTAGGTTTGTCGTGTTGCATCATAAACAAAATATACGATCAACACATTACGGACACACTCAACTTTGGTTTTGTTTAATGAACATACTAATTCAAGCACACGTTCAAGCACATATTGTTAAGATTTCTAGTATACACTTTGATACACTTTTTGTCATCCTATAGAATATTATTCCTTTAACACGATACATATTATCGTTAATACATGTGCAGGCCCATGTAATGGTTATGCATAGCTACACGAGTAAACGTGCAGGGCTCTTTCAGGAAAGTGAAGAGTTCCGGTAATTGTTTTTATCTAAGCCCGATTCTATAGCGTTAAAATGTAAACCTCAGCCCCAGAGATAAAACAGTTTTGAAAATTAGCAACGGATTCTTTGGCATTTAAACATAGCATGGCATTTGACATTACATGAGCTGATAAGTTACACCTGGTGTCCATCAACATCCGTGCTTACTTTTTATTCATTTATGCCCTCTTTGTTGCCTCGCTGCAAAATACAAACTCAATAAGCACTCCCGTCCATATTCTTGGAACTTCAGGTTCAGTTTCTTTTCCAGCGAAAAGCGAATGTGTGTTATTGAACAACATAATATATCCGATATCTATTGCATTAAAAATGACTGGGCCGGATTCACTTTGAGTTCTAGATCATTCCTCTAGATTCTAGGATCTGAATGTGTTAGTCATAGTGCGCATTATGTTGTCCAGCTTCCAATACTCTTTTGCAACAATAAGACAAACGAGTTATCATACTATGTGTTGATTCAAACAAACAATTGTTAACCCCGAATCAGTCCGTACAAGTGCTGAGTGTGAAACGAACAAATAACAACAAATATGATGTACTTAACAATTGTATTATAAAATTGGCATGACAATGGCAGTACAACATAGAGTGACAGTACACATGCAGTATATACAAGCTCAGTGGTTATAGCAATGAAGACAATGGTGGCAATAGTCACATCACCACAACACAGGTCAAGTATCTTAGATAGGCTCCTGGTCTTGAGGATCCAAGGGAAGAATGAAATGGGAAGTATGGTCTCCATACAAATGCTGATTTTCCTGTAACCTGGGATGTAATGTGAGTTTAGAGGCAAGAGTTACCCCCCTTATATACCTGAGAACAAGACTCCAGAAGTTTCTCAAAATGCCTGGGTCTGAACAGCCCACAGGGTTCATGGAGACTCAAGAACTGTCTAAGTATAGCACAGGTCTATATATAAAGCACACCACTTTCCCCCCATCTGAATATCGAATGGTTGCAATGAAAAACAACTCCCAGACAACGATATACCAATCTACGTCATCTTATGAAAGTACACTTATGAAATATACAAAGTTAGGAATTATTACAGTTAATATATTTTTACTGGATACAGATTATTGAAACTGTAAAATAGTGCTGTAGGAACATCACTCATTCATTAAGCATCACAATTAAAACAACAGGAAACTTCCAAATGAAGCAAGATACATGCGTAATGTTTTATCATGAACACGTTAACTGATACAAATGTATAGAAATGTTTATAAACCCCTCAAATTCTAATTTTAAGGCACATGTGCACGTGCACATGCATACAAGGTGTATTCTATCATTATCAAAAATCATTTTTCGTCGGACAATCTATAATCATGTTTTCGATTTTGTTAACCTATTTATTTCTGGAAGATATACTAACTAAAATTCTAAAAACAATATCGAAGATATGAACAGATTTATCTCTCGGTCGGTGGTCAACAGTTCCAAATAGTTTGGGAAACGAGTTAACTTTCTAATTCATAACTCTCTCGTGTACCATTTCTAGTTCTTGGTGGAATTCTTTGATCATTCACGAAAAAAGTCCAGGACAGCGTGAAATGAAGTGATCAGAAAACACACGTCCATGTAAAACTATTCTGCTGTCAGGAAACCTCTTTGGCAAACAAATTACATTTTTGAGTTCAACAACCATTTCATCCTAAACATGAGAGCCAGCACTAGCGACACATACATGACTGCCAAAGTGTGAGAGCTGTGAAGCAGGGTTTCATAATACACTTACACGTGCATCATACATATATTTCAAATGAGGAAAATAAAATACTCACACGAGTTGTCATGTAGTTTTACATGATATATTGATGACATTCCAAAGGTATTTGTACAGTTTTGCAAATTGCACAGCTTCATTCAACCGCTATTACTGTCTGTTACAGTTTTGTATGATTGCATCATCATTCGGCCTTACCCTTTGTTATTTGTATGGTCTTCGAGAGACATTAATGTACACATATATAAAGGGCATACATCAACATCAAACATGCACAGTTTCTAGGTCAGTAAGTGACGTCAGAGGGGCTGGCATCCAGGCTGTCAACATCTGCAGGGTCTTTACACCTCACTACAACTACAGCGGGCTCATACTCAGCATCTTCAGGGACCGTGGAACTCGACTGCTGTTAGCCTGTCGTGATTGGCAGCTTCAGTATCTTCTGTTTGGAGACCACATCCGTTGTCACCTTCGGGGTTACTTCCTGTGTGTTGCGCATCACCTGCTTGCGACGTTGTCCCACTGTCTTGCACGTTGGTCTTCCTGGAAACAGTTTTACAAACAACAATATACACAGATTGTACATAAGGATATTGATAACAGTATAAACACAGTTACATTGGCTCTTATACTTCCAGATTATACTTCCTACTTATTATACTAAGTTTCTGAGGAACTGCGGGTAATTTCAGTTTCGCATTCAATGAAAACAAATTGAATTGGATCAAAAACTACTTCCACCGTTACATGATACTTGTGATTCCAAACACAAAGTTTCTGTTATCACTTTGTGAAAATTAACTCCTTTTAGAAAAAAGACATTTCATCATCAAAAGGATGAAATGATGTTCTGATAACTACGGACGTGATTACACGGTAACACATATTTATGCAAGCCAGTTTTGTAATGAGATCGATTTCTCAGTACGCACGTATGGTATATATTACGGTTCCAATTAATTATTTTAAAGTCGTTTCTAAAACGTTTGTTCGTCAGCCTAATGCCGACCTGGTCCCGTCTTGGCAACCATGTCTTTGTTTGTGATCAGAGTAGTCTCAACTGACAAATCCACAGCTGGCTCTAAGACGACTGAGTTGGAAGTAACTATACCCAGAATTATAACCCACCGAGAAGAAATTGTGACCAAACGCCTGTTTTGTTGTACATATGCAGTCGGTGTGCGATGACCATGGGAGTGTTTAATGTAACTGATGTAACTTCCATCATTAAACTGACGCCTTGGTAGTTATCACAATTCCACACCGTAAGTTCAACTTTCATCAGGTAGTATTACGACAAACACAGTGATTAGTTTGTAGTATAAGCATCTGCACAAAGCGAATGCTTTCTTTGGGGGTTAGGCGGCGACGAACTTACAACAAACAAGTTGTGTCCGACGAAGAACAATTGTATAAATGCACATTACCTCTGTACCGTTGTACAAAACTATCTAATTACAGGAATTCCCAAGCACAGACTAACATATGTTAACATAGGTTTACAACTGTTGTTGAACTAAGGTTGTTTAGGACATTGGCACCCAGTTCTTGCCAGTTACCGATAACGTAATGATATCAATGAATAGTTGGAAATAGGTGGAGATTACCGAATGTAACCTCTGATGTCTTCTCATAACAAGCAGGATGGTACTGAGGCTCCAGATCTGATTTCGTTGTACAAAAAAAACATGTCAAAATAGGATTATTGAAATATTGAAGCTGGTTTATTAGAGAATGGAACAATAGTTAAAGTTTCCGGTTGTATATTAGCAGTTTTGCTACTGGTACGTAAACATATGGTGAATGTAGTCAATATTATACGTATTAGAAACGAAATGATATATAAGCGATGTTGATGAATGAAAATGCTTACGAGCATGCTGTATACACACGTAGTGATGCTGATCGTCACAGTTGGCTCTTTGAAATTTCAGATCTTCGTCAGCTGTTGTAAAATAAATTCAGATGATACAATGAAGCTGTATGTAGTGTATGTATGTATGTAGTGTATGTACGTATGTATGTATGTATGTATGTATGTATGTATGTATGTATGTATGTATGTATGTATGTATGTATGTATGTATGTATGTGTGTGTGTGTGTGTGTGTGTGTGTTGTGTATGTATGTATGTATATATGCATGCATGCCCATTCAAGTACAATGAACTTCGCTGCAATAGATTATGAGTGAGTGAGTGAGTGGAGTTTTACGCCTCACTCAGCAATATTCCAGCTTCTAGCGGCGGTCTGTAAATAATCGAGTCTGGAACAGGCAATCAATTGACACTTACTCTTGTTTGCACTTCCCTTTGTTGGCAAACGGAGATAAGTTTGGCACGAACCTGCGGCGTGTAAAACAGATGAGTTAGGTTAACATCATGATAACAAATCAAACCAGAGAAGCATCGGTTAACAAAGCACATGCATTAACACTTGTTGTTTTTATATTTAAGCTTACGTTTCGGTTTTCCGTTGTATTGTATCCGCCGTGTTTTGAATGTTTGCAACGATATATAAACATGTATATGATTATGATGTAAACATACATTGTTTGTGCATATAACAAGTAATTCAATCAATAATCATTCAATAAGTAGTCCCTGGGTTTTCGTCGTTGTTGTAATTATCAGTGATACATTTTGACCAAACAAAATACAAAAAACACTCATAGGTTCAGGATAAGTGGTTTCATTTACCATTCTCGTCACCTCGTATCCAAATTTCCGTGAGGATAGTTGTAACATTTCGAACAAATCGTCCACCTCTTGATGTTTTCAAATCCGATAAGGTGAATAATGATCTGTTTCTATATTTGCAGTCGTTCTCAGCCATGGCGAAGTTTACACTTACACAATTGTCTCCGAGTGGCCCGGAAGCTGAAGAACCAAAGTGATATGCATTCATAATAATCGTTTAAAAGCACAAATGTGTTACAATGTTCAAGCCCTAGCATCAAACTGAAACAGTGCATGAGCAAAGTACTATGTTATATTTAACTTGTGATATCTAATTTGAAATATATATGATGACATTGTGTGTGAGTGAGTGTCCAGGTTTAACAGTATTCTAGTTGCATCACGGCGTGGTAGCCTAACGTGGCAGGCAAAGCAATGTAATGCAGGTACGAGCATTTACTAGTCTCATGAAACCAACGAGCGTGGGTATGATGCTCAAAAACCAAGAAACATAATTGCGGTAACAGGGATTCAAACTCCTAATCAGCTCTTATCCAAGGTACGCAAATGTGACTGAGCCAACTCTAGACCTCCCCACGTTTGTAGCAAAGAATGGTTTTACATCACATAGGCAAATTTATTGAATATTTAACGGTTTGTCTGTGTTTCTATTCTTATAGAAACAACATGATGATTGTTGAATTTTGTAAAAACTCTTCTTCATAGGTCACAATGCTTAGAGGGAAATGGAGAAATAACGCGAAAGTGCAACCGTGTTTATTCGTGTATAATATACACTCGCAAACAACCGTAATCGTGGGAAATGAAACAAAAACAATTACAATGAATACAAAGTTAAATAAAAGGGAAATATTTGTATTGGAAAGTATGAGAATTTAGAGTCTTCTCAACATGGTTTGGAGATTTTACCGAAAGAGTACTGTTTCACTTCCACACTGAATTTGAGATGGATATATTTTGTAAGTATAATCCGTGCACAGCTATTATTTCTGAATAAACTAAAGGACGGTTGGATTTTTTGTTGTTGTTTCGCAACGAGTGTCGGAAGATGTCATACTAAAAGAAAGAAACATATATTTAACAACAGCAACGGGACGAAAGATTGACTTTTAATGTTGTATGTTATATAAAGTCACAAAAGTTGAATTGTCGAGACATTTGATTTTTCGTCAGGTTATTTATCTGTGTTAAATAATCAGCTTTACTGGTGTATTTTGGTCACAGTGTAATTGGGATGATATGTACATGTATATCGGTCCTCTGAAAGCATCTGACACGAACTGTGTTACGAGCTACCAATTCGGCGACCGTGAATATGTTTCCGAATATATATTTTGTTGTTTCATCAATTAGATGCCCACTTAATCGAAAACATTTATAGGAGGAAACCAACGGTCTGCTCTTATTTAAGAGTCAAATTACACTGTCGGGCTTCGTTAATGTGAGCATTGGGGAAGTTTAGAAATTTATGATAAATAAATGAATAATACCATACCGTGTACTTGGTCCATATTGTCGAAACCAAGAAACATCACGTACACAGCAAGTGATGCTGCACACAGAGGGACACAAACGATCTTCATCTTGAGTACAACAAGGTCTGTGAAGCAGATGATTCCCGACTTGCGTATATATTCCTTCTGGACTTGCGTATATACATTCCTTCTGGTCAGTTTCCTGGTTTGGGTCTAACTCGCGCAACACACATCGCCCCAAATAAAGATACTGAATAGTCTTTAAAATCCTATTTATTTGTGGGATTATGTGTCATGAAGAGGAAGTATAGAACATCAACGGGAGAGAAAACAACAAGTGCGCATTATCGAGCAAAACAGCTTATTGTAATGATACCAGATGTTCCCACGTGAATGTAATGTCCCTTCTGATAGTGCTTATGTATTTGTGCATAGATCACAAAACGTCACCATAAAGCTGCAAATCCGCACCGCATTTCTCCGCTGATGTCATCGTTGCTTGCTACTGGTCAGTGGGAGGGTGATGCTTCAGTTTAAATTAAGATTAGTATCTTTAAAATGCCCCGTTAAAGCTGAGAGTGACAGCTTGTCAGTACCTTTCATCTCATTTGCATTTGTTCTCATCGGCGCATCCATCAGATTGAAAGTCCGATGTCACAACCGCCTCTTTCTATGGAAATGCATCAATTTCACCTGTAGAATGCTTGTTGAGTTTGGAAAAAGTTTTTCTCATTATTGTATTTGATGTATGCATACAAATACAAATATCAAATATCATCATGTATGTGCTAGATAAAACGTAATAGAGGAATGTGGAAACGGTATATTTGTTTCTCAAATACTTCCTAAAGAACACACCACCCCGAATTTATGAGAAACATTTCCGTACATGCCGTGAGGCGATGCAGCAGATCAGTTGCGATATGCCAATAACGCGACAACAAACAGAAAGCCTGATACGGCTGATGTGGGACATGCTTGTGTTCCCTGAAAGATGTACTGCACGAATATCGAAAGTCTTATCCAATGCAAAATATCAGCTGTCCTGCCTTTTTTTAAGTTCAGAGCAAAATAGTTTCATATGTTATTTGTATACGATAAAGTGTACTTGTATGGCGACAGTGGTGTATTGTGGAGCAATGTTGTATTTGTATTGATGTTTCCTTTTAGATTCAGTAGAACGCAGTTGTGTTGATAGTTGATATATTTAGATTATTTGGGGCCTACATCCCCCACCCAAGCAGGGGAGACCCTGCAACGTTCACAAAACTTACATTGAGTGCAGTTAGTATATCCTTGATCGGGCGGTAAAACACTTCTCATATTCAATGGTCAATATTCAGTCACGGACATTTGTAGCTGGTAAATGAAACAGGAGATTCACAACACCATAACCAGTCAGACCGAAACTGTGTCATACTGTTGGACGGGAGGTTGTTACCGGGCAATCGTGTGTCACCCTCCAAATATTTACATGTTATGAAAGGATATATTTCCTTGATGACACACATTGCATGTTTAACGATTTGATATTAGTACTTCTTTTACATAACATGACTTCAAAGTGGCATTGAAAAACATAAGTGTCAAATTGTGTGTTTGTTGTTTAGAATAGCACTTGATTGCATGAATTAATATTCAACAATTGCAAACATACAGGTGTAGCACTTCGTTAAAAGAGCATCGTCTTAGTGTTGGTCGTTTTCCGACTTATAGTAAGAGTATCGCAATGTGGCGTAAAATGTACGATTGTCCTCCGCTTGTCTACTCCGAAACCTTTTGGAAGGCTTTGTAAAAAGCCTGAATGTTGTAACCGTGAGCACAACTATTTGGACCAAGAGTTGTGTGACGCACTTTGCAATCATCCGATGAGGAGTGTGCTCTTTAGTACCCCACGAGGTGAGAAATGTGATCACAGTAGGCTGAAACGGCTAGACTATTGCTCGCCGATGTTATCGAAATGCCGATGAAATGCTCAGTTGGTCGCCCTAGGGTCATTTGGAATATATGAAATCGTTTCCAGTGTTGAATCCTTGCAGCAGAAAAGACAGACCTCAAGAATAGTTACAATTTATTCATGAAATGCTAACAACACTGTTTGAATGTGAATGACTTGCATTACAGAAAACAATGCTTCCGACTGGAACACTACTACACTAAAACAGCGGGATGTTACACTTTTAAACAGACACGGCTTTCACGTATTCTTTGCTTGACTATTGAACATGCCCAGCCAAATCACATTTGGTTAAAATACAATAATGATAGAATCCATGATATATTTGTACTAGACACAATCTCTCAGAGTTTTCATTTGTGAATGGAAATGAGACCCGATGACATATGTACATATATAACGATCGGATGTTCGTCCTCTTTGAAGATGCAGTCGTTCAGCGTTTAAAGGGGTCGACTTCTTACAAACTAACGTTTCTTATTTGACTTTTTCTTTTTCTTTTTCGTTTCTTTTTTCGCTGGGAATATATTAACATAGTGATCATGTTTCGACACGGGTACATTACGGTTTCTTGTGAACGCGTATGGAAGATCATACAAGTCACTTTCAGATTGAATACCCAGCACTGATGAACCGGGCAAAGGGTCTAAGTAAGTGGATTTGTCTGGTTGTTCTGTAGATCCTCCCTGAGCAGGTACGTTAGTATTAACATAGATGTCACTCTGCTGTGTAGATCCTGCTTCCATGGGGCGATGCACAGTGTCTAGGTAGGTGTAGTGATCTGGTTGAATGAGTCTTACACTACCCTGGGATCTGTCGACCGAGCAGTTCGAGTAGATTGCCGTGTCTGATGTAAGGTTCTGGGTATTACAATATATACTTGATGGACTTATGCTGTGTTCTGACTGATGTCCTTCTCCGCCATCCTCACTGGAGTCGATGCTGCATGTATCCGACACAATACTCTGTATCTCGGGCATACACCTAGAGGACTGAACAGCGTGAGATGCCCTTGTTCCTTTCTTCCTTTTAGTGTTAGTATGGCTTGACCTGACGCCAACTGGTCGCCCAGGATCTGGCTTCAAGTCGTCCACGTTGGCGTAAAATGGTTCCGATCCTTCTTTATCGGCTGGTTTCCTCTCTGGTGATGAGACGTTTACATCTGTGGACGAGTTATGTCCTGAGATTAGCTTTCGGCTGGAAAATATCAAGTTCTTCGCTTCAGATTACATGTTTACTTTATAAACTAACATATTTGGTGCAAATGCGACCTTTATGAGACATACTGCGTGTTACTGTCAGTTGAACAAGGAAGATATTCTGAACATGTAGTGCCACGACTGAATTGTACATGACTACTTGGCATTTTACTCCCTGTAGAAGCTGTCCCGGCAGGTATTTAAGGCTGGTAATTATTGTACGTTGATGTCAAGATTGTATACTTTTTGAAATTCTGATTGAGCAACACTGTTCCATTCACCCGAACCATTTACCCGAACCGTTGGAAACGAAATCTCCATAACGTCATAACTAACCGCTTGATGGTGAAACCGCACGTGACGAGAATCACCCCTATGATGCATGGAACGACGGCGACGGTGATGTCTGAAATACAGAATATCTTCTACAGTATCACGATGTCTTGTAATCAAGTCCAGAAATAAGTACTACAGGTAATCATGAAAAGCAATTATGATGCGAACAACACCCGGGCTTATATATCTTGCTAGCTTCTCTAGAAGAAATTGATCTCGAATACAGAAATCGCAACAATGTCCAGTAAAAGTATATTAACACGGAAGCACAATTCACCAACGTGTGGTTAAAGGAGGAAGCATCCATAGTGATTTTGTACAATTATTCTGAAACTGATACTAAAATTCACTGTGTGCGATATCAATATCAGGTCTGTATTATGTCACTGTTCTGAAGAATAATTTGAGACATAGAAGAGGAACACAAAGCAATCTCTTCAGTACACCAAAAATATTGCAATTGTTTTGGTGAGGTGGAAATTGTTGTTTATTTATCTAGAACCATATCATTACAGAGCGAATATACACACATACACACAAATACATACACACACAAACACACACACACATGCATAAATACGCAAAATACAGGTTGAATAAGAATTAATTGGACAGGACAGTTATTCAAAACCATGTACTTACCCTCCATCAACGTACACACTATATGTCCTGCAACACATGGAGCTATGTCATTTGAGAGGCCGTCAAGAATACACACTGCACTACCGCAAACAAGAGGAAATCCAACATCATACGTTGTTTCACAACTGTGAGTGTCCGGGTACAGTAGACAGGGTCATTCCGCCGATATCACCTTGGAGATATTGATAGTTATCAGAGTCAAAACTTTGTTAAACCACTTTTACGGATATCTGTAATCTTCTTCAGTACTATGCTATATAGCCAAAGAGACTGCGTTTTGAATGGGGAGGTATTTGTTTTGTTATGGGGTTGTGCATCTCAAACAGTCAATTTCCAGAAGACAAAATTGCGTTTCAAATCAAAATGCTTTGTAATTTGTGTGCTTAAATTTGACAGTGAAACTGATGATCTGTGTCGAATTCGACAACATGCACTTACCACACATAATATACCCTGACTAACATGGTTGACGTAGTCAACACCATACAAAACATGGAAAGGCAGTAGGTCATGGATTACCTTACTACCCATCACACATACTGATATATGTAGTTATACCTTCAGACGAGCAACAGGTATTTATTTCAATTGCTTTCATAAGAATCCATAGGGTATAGTTAGCGTGCGATGTTACGGCAGCAGGGCGATGTTACGGCAGCAGGGCGATGTTACGGCAGGGCGATGTTACGGCAGCAGGGCGACAGTTCGTATAATGTCAGCCTGGACGTGCTACTTTTGCGTTTTCACTTAATTCGAACCAATTCAACAATAAATACTCAAGTAAGCATGGCAAGTTATGCTACATTTGAAATTACACTTTCTTAGTAAAGTACAGATTCTAGAACTATTATAGGTTTACGCCCATCAGGGATTCGAACCTACACTCTCAGAGTCAGGCACCTTTTCGCCAGCATACACAGTCAGTGATCTAACCCACTCAGCCATCGCAGACCACTGGTAGTCTAGACCACGAAGTTTGCATACCTCTCTGACAAGTGTAAATAGGCACGACTCCAATGGCCGAAAGCTATGAATACGCGATACCTTTAGAAAGTGGTCACATGTATGTTATATTTGGGATTACACTTTCCCAGTACTGAGAAAGATAACACATGCGGTGGGGTAGCCTAGTGGTTAAAGCGTTTGCTCGTCACGCCGAAGGCCCGGGTTCGATTCCCCACATGGGTACAATGTGTGAACTGGTGTCCCCTGTTGTGATATTGCTGAAATATTGCTAAAGGCGGCGTAAAACCATACTAACTCACTTAGGTGATGTTACCTATATGAAGGTAAAACGTGCACCGACCTGCATATCAGCACCTAAGCATAACATTGGGACATAAGAATGCGTTAAAACTCTGACTCCAGCGCCAAATTAACATCAATACGGGTACTATGTACTGAACTGCACAAACCAATGAGAGCCTGCCACATCAAAATAGGAGGTACTCTGTAAGATCGCAAGAACATTCCACGAACACAAACATACCCACGACTATCTGTTTCTGCTTGGATTGCTGCGATGCTATTGCACGTCCCGTGTGCACAGTAAATACGTGTAGAAGCTTTATGGCTATACGACACCACGTGTGGGCGTGGCATGTACAGTTTGAATCTGTACACATCGATGGAGACAGATACGATCACGAAGCCTTCTGAAGTTACACAGATTTTATTTTCACCAAATCACGAAAGAATGATATGTACATGATGGAAACTGAAAACAAGTTTACGGTGTATTACTTGGGGCCATTCTGTTATCATACAAACTGATTCCGTGATCAGTAACCTGTGTCACAATACTTCCATTAAAGGGACATTGAAGTAGTATGTTATAAAAACGGACGACATCATATGATCAATAAGGCTATGCTGTGAGCCAAGACGTCCGTAATATCTGTGTAATGGAAACGACCGTTCAGTGTCTGACACAGTATCTGACTCAAATTACTCACATTGATCAGAAGTGAAAAGTACAAGACTATTTACATTCGCGACCAGGCCAACAATACTGACCATGCCCTTTTGGCCACATCCCACGAAATCATTTATGTCATGGAGTTTTTTGCCCAGTTGGACAATGATGTAATTGGCACGATTCTGGGACTCACAAATCTCTTGACGGAGACTACCCAGGTTCGCCGCGAGGCCCTTCTGCCACTCTGGATAACGTAGAAGACTGCAGTATTAGCGAGTCGTCACATTTTAGGGATAGTGCTTGGTGGGTTCCACTAAGGAGAGTTACCTGGGGTGGAATCCCTGCCGTGGCCTACTGTACAAACATATTGTCAGCATGTCTATAAGCATACAATAACTGTTCGTAGAAAAATAAGAACATCCTTTTCATCCTACCAAGATGCCGGCATTTGTCCCAAATGATTTGATTTAAACAAATTATTATGGATTGGGGACAAGTTATCCAACTTAAAACACACACACACACACACACACACACACACACACACACACACACACACACACACACACACACACACACACACACACACACACACACACACACCAATATTTACATACATACATTTTCAATTATACACATTACCCAACAAATCATAGGCGTATAAGGGAATAGTATACTGTTTCAGGCAATGTTTGACCTTCCTGCTTACGGCGATTTAAAGGTCATTCGGTGTGTCATAATGATTAGGTTCCGTCGAACAACGTGATAACAAGGAACTCCTTGCAGATTGTTGGGTACACTTGTCATCAAGCGACTCTGGAAGATGTAGGTTTGTGTTGAGGCCATCTGAACAGGCGTACGGAACAGCGTACTCGCCACTTACCAACTGTCTTCTATCGTGAGAGTCGGTAGCAGGATCATTCGGAATATCGTAGATACCGCTGTTTGTCAGAGATGGTGCTTCCGAGGCACGGTTCAATGCGTGTAAATAGGCGTAGTGATCCGGCTGAACGCCTCTGATGTCGGTGTCCGTTCCGTTGTCGTCTATTTCGGAGTACAAGCCAGACGTTGACAGCACGGACTGACGCCCTTCTCCTTTATAACATGAGGAATCCGTGCACTTTGTGGACCTGTCACCCTGTATCTCGTAATAGCTATTTGATGACTCTCCGCACTTGCGATCAGATGGATATGCGCATGGACCTTGCACCCTTGCAGTCGTCGGGATGCTTGACGTGAGGCTCATTGACGGTTGCTGGTCCGTGGTGAAGTCGTCTATCATGTTATAGTAGTCTGCTTGTATTTGGTCAACTGCTGCGGTGTACATATTCTCTCCGAAGGAGGAACCGGTGTAGAAAATCATCGGACTTTCAGGTTGCAGATCAGGATCATATTCCGGTACTGAAGACACTGTGGTTAAGCTTGCATTCATGGAAGACGTGTTGTGAAGAAACCTTCTCTTTCTCCTGAAGCATGATAGCACAACATTGTATCAAAAGCCACTGTTAGCATTTACAAGTATCATAACCATGGGGATTACGTTATTAGATTGAGGAACTTAAAATCTACGAACTTGGTGACGACAATGGAACGATTTGAGAATATGTTCCAGAAACGAACAATAACCATGTGTGATTATAACTGCTGCATGCGATACAAATGTGTGAGAAAGAGTGAACGGCTTAGAATCATATGTGAAAACAGCCAGAAATCACTGTCCCAGACGTTACCCTAGAAAGCAGCAGCACGACGTTACCATGGAAACCAACAGCACGTATATGGCACTGACAGAAGAGAGATGGCGAGAGAACCGTGAAATATCAGACATTGAACAACTGCAGATCATCCTCACATCTTAATGATGACAACACTGATGACGGCTATGGCAAACAGCAACATCCCTACAAGGACACACACCATGGTGACGCCTGAAACACATAGCGGAAGAATGGTGTACATTAAGATTGATTGCCGTGTAGGTGTAACTGCAACTTGAACACATAGTGATTATTTATTGTGACGAATTCAATGGCGGACGGTTATGTGACTAGAAACGACAACGAAAGACTTATACTGTACTTGGTGATGTGTCTGCAGCTGGTGGTGTAGGGGATGTTTGATTAAATGTCGAAGACTCTGAAACGAACAAAATTCATTTAGTTCCGGCTGTAACGTAAAAACATGTTGGTGACGTCACCAAGGATGACCAACAATTGCCTCTTACGACAACAATATTTAGGTGGGGAAATTTAGAACAGTTGTTGACAGTTACTGGGAATATCAGTGGCGATGATGCTGATGATGACGACAACGACGACGACGACGACGACGATGATGATGATGAATTTTATAGTATACGGGGCATACCAAATGGTTAGACCTTTAGTATTAGACGAGCGTGACGAAGCCACTGGATATACGGAATGCATACATATACTTCGAAACATTAGTAACAAGGAACGGTATATACGTACCAAATATCCATGGCATGGTTGTAGTTTGGACACATTGTGAACCTGGGAAAAATAAAGTTCATACTGAATTACAACCCCTCTGTCCACAATGCTTCAAGACGTATGGGTGTGATGAATGTTCAAACGTACTCAACATTATTATCTTTACCATGTGTAGCTTTATTCTCTTAGTTGAAGCAACTGCAGACATCAATGAAATTAAATCCATATGTATATTTCTGTGCAAACCCAATCTGAAATGAGTAGACCTTCCCTATTGAACGAATAGAACTTACCATTTCCTCGCCAAGCTGTAGAAAAACAAAAATAGAAGTTGGAAGAGGAACTTAGTTTAGTTTTATATATCTTAAACATATATTATCTGTATCAATGTTTAAACAGGCAAACAGCTGGATGGCGGGAAGAATTATATATATCCTATTACAGTCAATCAGAATTGGACATGAAAAATGCTGTTTATGTTTTATAGGCCCCTTTACGTATACGTACTGTCATTGGAAATACACAGGTAGTGTCGTAACGCGCTGCAGTTGGTCTGTGTAAAGGTAATGCTTCCGTTGACTATAGTAGCACAGTCATATCCGTTTGTTGTATTTGACCAGTCTGGAACACAAAGAAACATATATAGCATCGTTGTAATAAAGCATACCTTAGCATCATACTCATCCCTTGCAGTTCCTGGCTTCAAAGGCTAATTTCGAATTAAGCTCATCGCTCAAACGAAAACATTGTTCAGCATCATGCCTACGTATTAAACCGCAATATATCATCACACTTATTCCAAGGTAACAAATGATCATATGGCATAAGTCTCATCCCTGGTAATGAGGTGTTACCCAGCACCAAGTTTATCCCTTTTACCATTAATCTGCGCCATTCATCGGTATCACATAGCATGATGTTCAGTCCTGCTAAAAGACATAATTTAGCATCTTGTAACAAAACAAAGCAGTATTATACATGTCCTCTTTCCTGGTACTGAGACATATATTAGCACCACATTCATCCCTGTTAAAAATTACTTGTCATCATAATCATCCCTGGTGGGAAAACCTATTATAGCCAAATAGCCATTCCTGGTACTGAAACGTGACTCAGCCTCATACATGTAATCAGACACAATATGGAATATAACACTCCCTTGTACAGCAGAATTCAGCATCATGTTGTCATCCTTGGCAACACACTACTTAGCATCATACTCATTGCAGAAACTAAACATGATTCCTGGAAATAAAATATAATTTAGCTTCATTCGATGAAATATAATTGTGTGAACTCTTAGCTGTATATTCTTACGATGACAATCACAGAGTATCCCGATCAGCAGGAATCAAGTTCGTCAACGTGCATTCCGCCAGGTACTGTATACAAGTGTATATAGTGCATTAGGGACGTAATTGTTGTGCTAGCATGTCGATCCGGTATTGAATCTGGTATCTAGTTTAACAGGTGGTTTGTTAGTGAATGATGTCAGAGCATCTGTATTCCTGAAGTTAAACATCCCGGCAAACGTACCATGCTGTGACAGAGATGTCGTAATTGTGTTGGAGTAGCTTATCAAGAGGAGAATATGTCTGGAACAACAACAGAGAATGTTTTACCCGTCCAGTTGTTCTGAATCCAAAGTTCCCCGTGGTCTCTCAGGGCATCCTGCACCTCCTGTCCACCTCGACGTGTTCTCAAGTCATAGATACTGAAGATCGTGCCATGTGTCTCCTCGCAGCTTGACGCTGCTGAAGACCAACTTGCAGGGTGGCAAGAAGAATGGAATGTCGAGTTTTCTGGATATATGACATAACACGATGCTCATTAAATTTGTCATCACACATAACAGGTGTATGGTATTTATGCACTTTGTAAATGTATGCCTCACTGTTCATGTGAGTCTCGCGTTCGCTCTGTATGAAAGTAACACAAGTTATCCCTGAAACATCGCTCAGAAGTTATGAACAATTTGAAGTTGTAATCGATTGCAAATCGTAATCGATTGTAGATTGTCACATGTATACATCGAAATTAGACTGGCTCTATTTAAGTGTCAGAGACACAGCATGTAGCACTAGAACGTGTTAATAGTATAATGTCTACAGTAGCTTACAGTTACCACGTACACTTCATATCATTGTCCAGCAACTCTGCCGTCACTCGAAACGATATTTTCTACCTAAATTATGTAAAGGAACTGTGAATGTCAATTTATCTTTCATATAGGTGCATATTCACTATTAATACCATGCCGATATATCTTCTAAGAACAATGAAATGTCATATGATGCGTGAAACCACCTGTGACACATGTTATATTTGGCATTACACTTCCTCAGTACACTACAGATTTTAGTATCTTTGTTGGGTTTAATCCCATCCGGGATTCGAACCCACACTGTCAGAGTCAGATACACCAGCAAACAAAGTCAACCATCTTACCCACTCTGCCACCGCGGCTCCCTAAACATGGAATTCTGACAACTGGTAGAGTAAGCCAAGGACTTTGTGTACTCCTCTGATAAATGTAAATTGGCACGTAAGAAAGTAAGAAAGTTTATGGATAACAACTTCTTTATTATATATGATGCGACGTTTCGGTATGGATTCTTAAACCGTTGTCAGGCAAGAGTGAAGTACTGCAGCACAGAACAGACTTATATACATGAACAGGGATTAAGTAATAACAACATGTAGGACTGAATCAGGGGGATTAACAACAACAACAAGGCACGGTGGCAATAAGTGACAATAGGAAGCTTGACAACGGTATAAGAATCCATACCGAAACGTCGCATCATATATAATAAAGAAGTTGTTATCCATAAACTTTCTTACTTTCTTATTAGTCACCAACTTCTAAATGCCAATCAAACAGATAAATTGGCACGGTTCCCGCGACCGAAAGCTATAAATACACGGTACCATTTAGAAAGTGGTCAAATGTAACACGTTATATTTGGGACTACACTTTTTCAGTAAATTACGCTTACCAAGGCACCAGATAAACATGCACATAGAAACTACAATCAATTACGACTCCAGGAAATACAGTAACTTGATTGTGATTAGGTAATTCATGTCATTCCGGGGTATGTCATCTGCGCAATTATTCATAGTTTACGGTAATGCTCTATTTTCATTTGCCCACCAACTTGGCCGACAGCAAACAAACACCCGATTACGACATTACGGCAATCTTGCTGTCTGATATTACACATTTGTTTTTGAAAATGGGCCCGACTCAGTACTTCACTCAATCACAGAAATATATGATTATATGCACAAACAATTTCACGAGCAAAACATAATCATTCAGTCGAGCAAGGCCAAAACGTCGTCTTGCCTCCGATGAACAATTCGGCAAGACAAGAAACGTTTACTTGTCTGGAATGTTTAGCCAAAACAGATAAATCGATTAACTCTTACATAATTTACAGACTAAATGTAAATTTATCAGATTTTGTTGACGATATCGGCGTTGGTCCGGACCCGGTATGATGCTTTGACATCTAACGCCGAAAGAAAGCCTTCTGTCCACAGCTCGATTATTAATTCAAACTAAACGACATTGTTCAGTCTAAGTAAACTCAGGCTCATTAATCGCGAAAGTTAACATTCGCACATACCGTTTGAACCTGTACCTAAACAACTCGAAAGATTCCGAATACTATTTTCCGCACGATCGCTTCCCCATGATACACGCAATGAGTAAACATATAGCGTTTTTGTCAATATTCAAGGATGTCATCTTGCGGAAATATATGCTAATAGTAACCATGTCATTAGAAACCCCAAAGATATACTGCAGGTCAAATATATGTTGTTGGTACATGTGTCAGCGACCAGGGAAGAGAAAAACCAAAAACCGTTTTGTAAGTCCCACCGAACCCTAACAAGTAGTCGTTGTCGGATTGATTAAATCCGTTCGGCCGTCTCGCGTTTGATTCGACGCTCATAGGTTGCTCAAAGGTTAGCTTACGCGACCTTCTACAAAGTTTTGTTAGTATAGCAATGTAACGAATAATACTGAGCCTAAGTTTACTTAGACTGCGATATTGTTATGACAAAGATATACTTTCCACAGTTTGTACAGAAGCTGCAAAATTCACTTCATCCATTCTGCGTTTAGCCCAACATATTTGTTTCATGGTTCCTCTGATCCGTTACATTGCTTGAAGTAGAGTAGCCTCATGAAGTACAATTAATAACTTTACCGTTTTTATGCCAGCGGTCACCCCCATTTTCGTTTGTATCCTTTCAGAAATATTAATAAAAAATTTGTCCCCCCAACTCCAGCTGTTATTCAGCAGCCTCGCAATCATGTCACCGAATCAGATTAAATTTGATACATTTTGATGTACAACACAATTTCAAAAATAATGGACACAATATCCGTAGAATCGAATTTAATTACAAAATACACGGACTGGTTATTCCTTTGTGATTAATGACAGTGAATAAACGAGACGTTATTAGTTGTTTGTAATTACCGAGGCCGGTGTTTGTTTTGTTCAGACGGTTTAACCGCCTATCAGCCAATTTGGAGCAATACCACTTGAGACTAGAAAGCGAGGCTGCATCACATATTAAAAAGAGGTCTTACCAAAGAAAGAGTTTTAACTGAAATATTTCATTCAATTGTCTCTGTAAAATGTAGATAAACTAGTGTGTTGTGAAATTAAAGGTAGTAAAACGGATTTATAGTACCTCTAAAATGAAATGCGTTATTATAAATCCGTTTTCCTACCTGCAATTTCAAAACACAGTGGGTGTATGTCGCGGGACTTGCAATCACAATCACTTGTATTCATAGTTGTTTGCCACAGAAATCAGTGGTTGATATACAAAGCAACAGGCAACACTACTCACTGGGTCCGACACTACTCACTGGGTCCGACACTACTCACTGGGTCCGACACTACTCACTGGGTCCGACACTACTCACTCGAAGTAACCACCGCGACTGGACACTGGATCCATTTCAGGCGCAACAGTTTTTGGGGATCTTTTTTTACTTGAAATTTCACAGTGGAATAATACTGCTAAAGTATGTTGGTCATACTCAACTGACAAGGAACTGTACAATTATTCTGGATAATGTTTGACGTTTTTTTCGAAAAGTACCAAGTTCGCTTCTCCAGTTACATGACTGAGTTGTTTATGAGGGGATGAAATATCTACTTACCATCTGCCTGCATCTTGCCTGTTCCACCAGTGTAGATACCCAGCTGAAGCCTGATCGAGGAACATGCGTCAAGCCGTACTTCCACTACTGTGTTTCCTTTAGGTGTCAGCTTGAACCATGGTGTTAGATATCGTGAATCTTTTTGTGCTGTATTTTCACAACTGCATCGGACGGGAACACGGACGTTAACCATATCTCTCGATATTGTTCTAAGTTTCGCTACGTAATAGCCGACCTGGTTAGCCTTTAGGCTGGGTGCGCGTGTTGAATGCCTCGTTTAACAATATTCCTGTGCTATTACAGCGTGTTAACTATATGTGGGAGGAAAAGCCGAATTGATGCAGGCTTCAGATCTTTACCACTGTCTTGCTGACAAACCTACGACCATAATCTGGATTCGAACCCTCAATTAGCGGGTGCCGCCATGCCCTTAGCCCAAACTCTGCATCGCGATTTTTTTACCTAAATAACCGGGCAACATGTGCTCCATTTGTGTTCGAGGGACTCTCACCTCACGAGATAAAGGCTTTTACATATATCACCAGAGCCATTTTCAATAATGGTAAACGTGTAATGTTTGGTATTGCAGTAACCGCAATCGTCAAACGAAATAATTCACATGTGACAACCATCCATCAATCAGATTGTGCTGTTCTCTAACGCCGCACTCGGCAACTGCCCAGCTAACTTCCTATCATTTCTTCCACATGTACCCGTGTTAGAATATTGATCTTCAGTAACCCATGCTTGTCGGAAGAGGCGACTAACGGGATCGGGTGGTGAGGCTCGGTGATTTGGTTGACACATGTCATCGGTTCCCAATTGCGCAGATCTATGCTCATGCTGTTCATCACTGGATTGTCTGTTCCAGACTTGATTATTTACCGACCGCCGCCATATAGCTGGAATATTGCTGAGTGCGGCGTAAAACTAAACTCACCCACTCACTCTTCGGCATGTACATATGTATGATGCAATCAAAACAGTTAACTGATAAACAGTTTACAGAAATATGTTGTATTTTGATATGCAATGTTCTTTTTATGTACACACCCATGTATGCTGCAGGCGCATGCCTCTTAGCATTATGGATAATCACATATTTATATTATTTGCATTTTACTGTTTAAACAGAGATATTTTGGAATCTGTAATTTTGAATCCTACGCCTCATTGTAATCCCCATCTTCCCTTATTAGAGCATGTGTAGAAAACCGTAAAACCACAAGTCGGGGAGTGTATATGTTGAGTATGGGCATCGCATTAGAAACTTACTTGTATTAACAGACCCGTGAAGGTCCGGGTTAGAATATTGATCTTCAGTAACCCACTCTTGTCGTAAGAGGCGAATAACGGGATCGGGTGGTCAGGCTCGCTGACTTGGTTGACACATGTCATCGGTTCCCAATCGCGCAGATCTATGCTCATGCTGTTCATCACTGGATTATTTGGTCCAGACTCGATTATTTACAGATCGCCGCCATATAGCTGGAATATTGCTGAGTGCGGCGTAAAGCTAAACTCACTCACTCACTTGTATCAACATGTTATTAAACACTTTAAGAAGTCGACAGGTCTGGGACAATTCCCTCGATGAGTTATCGTTTGAGAAGAATTAAGAAGCAAACCACAATGTCTGATATTTTAGGGAGAGATCTTTAGTAAAGTTCACCGACATGTAGAGCCTCACGTATAATTCACTGACTGGTCTCCAAACACCTCAATCGTATCATGATTTTGTCATTCGAGGCGGATGCATTGACACTTGACAAAATATTTGACAGAATATTTCCTGGTTGCTTTTTCAATAATTAGCACAATAGACAGTTATATAATTGTGAAACCTATTTTTTAAAGGTCGATACAAGCAGCAAGATAAATAAAGAAATCTGGAAAGTAAACAAGGAAGATGTGAGTGTATTTATAGCCTAATCGTGATTAATTCGCGATCTGACGAGCATTGTATCTGTAACCAGATCCCGTGAAACTGTCTGCCTGAACATTAACGACCGAACATTGAACAATGTTGTTGATATTGAAAGAAACGCTGAACAAAACATCTGTAAGACATACAAGACGTAACATGTTTTTTTCTCCGGCCTCCAAGCGTATAATCACAATTACAACAGTACACTTGTCCGACAGATCAACGGAGTCACGTGAATACTCAGTTGCTTAGTAACAGGGACAGTTACATGACAACCAGAGTAACTTTAATTCTACTAATGTACACAGATATGTATAATATTATCCTTAAACAATCATGTAGAATCACATGAGAAATGGGAACTGAGTTATTTCAATTTATATTTCAACTATGCATCTGAGCCAGCATCTATTAGAAAGTTTGATTGCTGGAGACACAGTCGTCTTGCAAACATCAATTTCTATTGTTGTACCTAACAAATTACAACGAGAGGGCGGAGAATAGCATATTTGTTTTCACTCGTGATTTGTTCAGAGATTATTATGTAAAACCTGTTTGTATTAAGTAGTTCCAGAAACGCAGAGTATGCTGATATTTCTTATACTCTTTCTGTCATATAAGTTACAGAGTTGCACCCCTTTGACAGAGACATTTGGTCGTAGGTTCGAATCCGCTTTCGCTCACATTATATTCCTAGTTTTGACAGCATCAAACCGGTGCTGTAGGATTCCACAGAGATGGTAAACGTCTGAGACCTGGAATATGTCTACCTGGCACTACCGACTACCTGTAATCACTCAAACAGACACCGCCGAAATGACAAACTACACAAACACTACAAATGGACAATCATTTAGTCTTCACCTCTTACATTGAACGGGAAGAAGTTATCGACAGTCTTACTGCATGGGTCCGGTACCTTATGCACCTCACACATGAAGCCCGTGATCGCAAAGACATGTCTATTTTTCCTGAATGGTTACTTTATTGTAGGATCCATCCGCTCGTTTTCTGCCAAGCTGACGCAACGTCGTATCATAGACGTCGGCCCAGTCCATGTCTGCTTCGTGTCTGGCCAGATGGCTGTATATCTGTGCTGAATCCGGCTCCATGTCGGTGAACTTCAGAATGTTGTCTTTCCCTATATGCAGCCTGTCATACCCGGATCCTGACGTACGATTGGCTTGTCCGTGGTGGCTGCATGATGGCATGTGTTTATCCCTGGTGTCCGTGTTCGTGTAAGCGTTCGTCTCCAACCGCCGTGGCAAGCTAGTAGATACAGTAGGCTTCCGTGTCTCTAGCGTGGTCCTGGAGGAGAAGACAGATAGATTAATCAATCAGCCTACTGTAGTATGATTTCCACAAGTATACTGACATGTCACACGGGTTGGTCAGTGTACATTTGACAAGTATGTTTAATTGAATTACAAACTGAATATTATATCAAATCGATCTGTGAAATTCATGGCCAACAAATAAGTGTGATGGCTATAATTAAATGATAACATGCCTGTTTGTCGAGCCTGTACAACAATATCTCTACATTATAGCAATAAACCGGTGAACAAATTAATATTTATGTGATGATATCAATACAACAATCAAACACCCAGTGCAGATATCATCTCTACCATACGGGGCCTCGCTGTATTATCCTGGTCGTGTTCAACGTGCGGGTGTGGCATTAACAATACCATCTGAGAATACATTGACGTGAAGACATGTGAACGTGTGATTAGTGTTGCAGTTGATCTCCGAATTGAACAGCATTTCTTACAAACAAAGCTTACAGATATAATCGTAATGATATTGGTAAATCAGGACTTTGTGCAAGATGTAAAACCTTGGTACATTGTAAAGTTTATGTTACCTTGAGGAAGGACATAGGTTGTTCTTTACAACCTATGCAGGGGGAAATAGACACCATAAGCTGTTGTTCGATATGAAGTGAAACTTCAGATTTGGAATTAGCGTGACAGCCAATATGTGCTGTTCGTTTGCCATACAATCGAATGTGACATTATAGGAAAGGATAAGGTATTGAGTAGTTGAAACAACATCTGCTCACCGCTTCATGAAACAGCAGCCCATGACGATGGCAGCGGCAGAGAGCACTGCGATGAGACACGCGGCGACGATGATCATAATATCATTATCTGAAACAAAACTGACAGGTATAGTTCCACGAACATGAACACATTTCTTCCATCACCATTTCTTACACGTCGACTTCCAACCTGCAAAGTTTACAATCATCTAAACGATCGCCTTACCATCACTGCGTCCAAGTCCCTCGACAACGTCGTGAAGTAAATCAGAACTAGGACCATCATATCAAAGTATCACGAGTGGATAACAAAAGATAGTCACGCGAGGTATGTTATTTCCTTATCAACTGCTTGACAACTTTCTGTCGGTTGCATCTTAGTGAGTGAGTGAGTAAGATTAGTTTTACTTTTAGCAATATTCGAGCAATATCACTGCGGGAGACACCAGAAATGGGCTTGACATATTGTACCTATGTGGGGAATCGAACCCGGGTCTTCGGTATGACTTGACTTTAACCATTGGGCTAACCCTCCGTCCCTGATGAATCTTAGCCAGACGTTACACAATAATCTGATCTAAGAGAACTAGGTTGGGCCGCTTTACCTTGTATTCCAGGGAGTAACAGTACATGTCTACGGTCATGATCAGTTGGCATCCGTGAACACTTCCATTGCAGTATAGAACGCCGATGCCAGAGAAAAGCAGCCTCGAGACATATTCCACTCGACGAAACACCCACAATTGTGGCACATTACATGAAAGGATCCGTGGAAATTAGTGATGACACATGGTGCTCACGAAAGTGGATTTCATGTTGTGTTCACCGGCGGCGGGGGAGCCTCGTGGATAAGCCGAAAGACCTGGGTTCGATTCCCCATATAGGTACAATGTGTGAAGCCCATTTTTGATGTTGCCCGCCGTGATATTGTTGGAATATTGTTAAAAACAGTGTAAAACTTAACTCACTCCCTCACCCAATGCAAATCACAAAAACCAGTGAAAATCCGGGTTAGAATTGGACTTCAGTGACCCATGCTTATCGTAAGAGGCGACTAACAGTACCGGGTGATAAGGCACGATGACATCAAATTTGCCTAGATTGATGCTCATGATGTTTATCATTGGATTGTCTGGTACAGACTCCATTATATACTGACCAGCGTCACAGAGCTGGAATATTGCTGAGTGCGGCGTTAAACAACAAAGAAAACAAACACCAACGTGGCTACTCACCCATCTCAACTCTATAGGCAAGTATATCAGCAATACTTTCACCTCAGTGTGTTGTCTTCATATCACTGTTAACCTGTTACCCGGTATACGAAACACCGAAGAAATTTCCTCATACAATCATGACACGGGCTCAAGAAAGAACATGTTGAATTATTCTGGCTGCGTACGTCCTTGTAGTATCTGGAAATACTGACGAGTATTTCGTCAGTATTTCCGTTTTTTCTGTTTCAGTAGCGAGGTATTATGTTTATGTTTTATTTCCACGATTAATGTGGATTTGGCTGCGTTTTTCTGCACAGTGGGAAAGTTTTCTTTTGTAGGCCTGCTATTGAAACCAGAGTATTTTCAGTGATGTTTCAGTTTGAACGATTTGACCTGGTCCACATATACAACCAACCGCAGCTAAAGCGCAGTTGAACCTACAATTCTGACTAAATTATGACCATGCGTGTGTTCGTTTGTTTGTTTAACAGAAGCGGCAACACATTTCCACAACCGTAGGAAATATCTGTTAGAAGCAGAATAGATTGTACAACTCTGACGGTATTTACGACTTAGTGTGTGTTTGTTTAACAGAAGCGACATACCCCTTTCCACATTCATAAGAAATCTCTGCTAAAAGCTGAGTAGATTGTACGATTCTGACTCTATCAAGAGTAAGTGTTTGTTTCGGCAGTATGACGATGTGGTTTGTAAAGTATCGAGTGTGGACCTGACAGCCCAGTTCTTGACGCTAAGCGAGTATGTGTTAATGCATGTTTATGAATTAGTAATGATACCAGGTGTTCGCGAAATGTTGAGCGTATCCTGCCCCACTGGTGGCACCCATTATGATGAACATATTCAAAGTCTAGTCACAGAACCAAATCGGGAATGTATGGTACAAGTCCAAACAGGGCATTGTCCGTTCTATTGAGAACAGACAACCTTCACCTTGGAATTCAATTGTTACATGTGTGCTATGATGAACCTCGGTCAGCGACAAAGACTTGCGAGAAATATGAACAATTCACTGTGATATGTTGAGTATTTGTTTGATACACACAGAATATGTCTGAAAACCACTTTTGCGTTTCTCGTTTTGTTGAGTATATGTACACAAACAAACCTGATTTAAATATGAATATAAATGGCTCTATGGGGTAAGTTACCATACTTATATTTGTATTTGTGGTTTTAAAGAGGGTGAGTGATGTAGATTGTTGATTAAACCGAACACAGACACGCAGTATTCTTCGTTTTCCAGGGTCTGGTAGAGCAAATAGTTGTATTACCACGGTTGAGGTATATGTGCTCGGCTATGCCTTGCTATAATCAATTCGAATACAAGTGTTATAAGGAGTTATACCGAAGTCGAGTATGGTATATAGTCTGTTAAACCGACGTCGACTATGGTATACATTCAGTTATACCGAGGAACAGATTTAAAGATTTGGATATACCTAGGTCGAGTATGGAAAATTTTCGGTCATATCCCGGTCGAGTATGGTATATAGTCGGTTATACCGAGGTTGAGTATGGTATATCGTCGGTTATACAAAGGAACGGGTTTAAATATTCAGTTATACTCAGGTCTTTAACGTATTGAAAGCGAATCTGCGCGTTGATATATTTCTAGAACACCAATATCAATGTCCGATGCAATGCATGCATCCATGCATTCAACCTGTGTAGCTCGCATGCATAAACTAAGTGAATCTCATATATATGTTGTGTTATGACACAACACCATTTTACCGGGAGTGGGACAACTTGGGAATCAGGATGAGCGCGTGGCTTTCCGTTAACGAGGTCTACATTTGCTAGTCAGTACAGTGCATTTAATTACATAAATGAATTTACTGATTATCAAAAAGGGTTGGTTAATTGGTTGGTTAGTGATTAACGCCGCAGTATTCCAGCTATATGATGGATGTTTGTAAATAATCAGGTCTGGACCAGACAATTCTGAGATCAACATCATGAGCATCGCTCTACGCAGTTGTGATGCGATGACTTGACCGCGAGTCTGAGTCAGGTTTAAATATATGTAGGTTAATGAGGCAAGGTGTTCATACTTTAGGTATGCGAAGATATCTTAATATGAAACCAGACTGTATGAATAGTTTCCGATTGACACGGACGTATTTGCATTCGTTGTTGTTTTCACAAATAACATCAGTAACCTGCAAAAAATAAAAGTGAAACAGTGAAACAGTTAAACCAAGCTTCAGCTGTATTGCGATGGGATATGTGTCAGGCTGACATATTTAATGCAGGCGAAGTATATGACTTGCGGAAATACTCGCAAAAACGCCCATGTTCTGATATGACGATGTGAACGGAAATGGCGTTATCATGTCGTCAACATGTTTCCATGACAACTGGACCTTGTTGGTAATTATAAGCTGCTTGCAAAGAATGAAGGATTGATTCTGACAATTGTCAATCAAAATGCGTATGTAATGAATATAATACATTTTCCCGTTTGTGATAAGAACATTACATTCTCTCTGCTGGTTGAAGGTCGTAAGATCGTAAGTTCCTATTGTTTGTTTTCATTATCCACAGAAACACAAGCTCCTAACTCGTTTCGTGATGCAGCAATTTCAAGCTCCAAACCGGTCGGACTCAACAAGGCGGAGCCATTACATCCAGTCTCGATCTATGGAATACAGTCTTTGGAATAGAAAATGCTTATGATCTACGAATTGGTTCAACTGCACAAGTCTAGTATAGATACGTATAGGCAATTCAGGGTAAGGAACCGAAACTATCCGTCCAACCACTGTTCACCTGCGACTATAACTGCCGGTTCGGCCATCTTGGAATCCCTGACCTTCACTGGATTCATCCGTTCTGATACTGATAATAAGACACAACCAAGGAAACTGAAGTACATCAACATGCAGTTTTATTTCCGAAACGCTTTAGCACTTAAGCAGATACAGTATTTGAAATAGGGATTTGCAACAACTTGTCTATTGTGCTGAATGAACGTGAGCTAGTGGTTGAGGTCGACCGAAGGATTCTGGATGAGAGAGTGAGATTAGTTTTACGTCGCTCTTAGCAATATTCCAGCAATGTCACTTAGGGCGACAACAGCAATGGGCTTCGAACCCGGGTCTTCGGCGTGACGAGAGAAACTCTTTAACCACTAGGCTATACCACCGCCCTATTTGGGATGAAGATACACAGCTAGGTGTGACATAACACAAATCACAACTTATGACACAAAGTTAGTAACTTCCTTGAAGAGTTACACAGTGCACCGAAGAGCAACAGCTGCTACTTAATGTGGCTTTATTCAAACACTTCTCAGTGCGACTGTGACGGATGGTAATATTTACGCCTGCTCTAAATTTTGTCCTGAGAGAAAGCCTCTTGTAATGGATCCATACACAAATAATGACCAGTGTTGAACGCTGCAACTTCCCGATCATCAAGTTCTGTGGGAGAGGTCTGACGGGGTGGTTGGTAAACAACTAGGTCCTTGGATCCACCAGTGTGCATGCAAATGTAACCACTTGGTTCAGGAGATGGGTCCACAGGTTTCACATTACGAGGCACGGCATATTTAGGGGGAACATGAGCAGCATCAGGGGCCTGCACAGGAACCACGTTAACATACGGGGCTCTCGAAGGTTTCATTGTTTCTCTTGTTGCTGTATTACATTCGTCCCACTTCTCAGTTTCCTGTAGGTCTTTAGCTTCCTGTACAGTTTCCTGTTGGTCGAGGTCTTTCGCTTCCCGTAAAGTTTCCTGTAGGTCTTTAGCTTCCTGTACAGTTTCTTGTTGGTCGAGGTCTTTCGCTTCCCGTACGGTTTCCTGTAGGTCCTCTGCTTCCCGTACTGTTCCCTGGAGGTATTCTGCTTCCCGGACAGTTCCCTGCGGATCTACTGTTTCCTGTACAGCTCCCAGTGGTTCTTCTGTTTCGCGTGTAACCTCTGGTCGTTGGTATAAAGCAGCCAGATTAAACAGCTGGGGGCTGAAACACAGATTGGAATGTTAGCACACTGTCTTTTATTTGGATGATATTCCAGACATACAATTACTGGAAACACACACAGAATCAGGGCAAGTTATACAAGACAGTGATAAATGCAAGTTGCTAATGTAGATGTCAATTATTTTTCCAGTTCTTGTTCGTATGTTTGCTTTGAAGCAGACTGTTGCACCAACTGGTATTTGGGCTCAGTTGGAATAACACGTTCAACTTACCCCTTGATAAATAGTAACACTGCAATAGTCGCTACCATAAAACAGGTGAAGGCCATTGCAGCAATGAAGATGAGACAGCCTGGAAGAAACAGGGAGTATGTAAAACATGGATGACAACAGTCGGAATATCATTATAAATACAATTTTATTCCGACTGGTAACCTCTTTAGCAAATTTGATCATTCTTTTTTTTGTCTGCATGCATGGCTACAAATACGCTGTTGGGATGGGGCATTGGCAACTTTCCCTCGCGACATTTAGCTTCGTAAGGAATTCGTAACAGGAACCTAGCGTCCTGGACAAACGTTTCTCTGGTGTCGTTTGCTTCTACACATGGTCGTCCGCAGAGCACGTGTATGTCTTCAAAGCAACGCGGAATACGAACATTTGTTTTATTTGTTAAAAAAGTTCCATGTGTTAGCGGGTTTGCGATGGTGTTGAGGGTGTCTGTGTTCCGACTGTAAGCTTAATCTTCGACAATGGAGGTCGTTCCAATAATTGTCGGTGGGGTCAAAGAAGTATGTGATATAGACTACCAGATTTCAAACGTCCATTTGAGGGGAAGCCGCTGTGGCTGAATGGGTTTCACCGCTGGGATTTGGCACCTTACACTGAGCGTGTGGATTCGAATCCCGTATGGGACTCAACCTAACAAAAGTACGAGGATCTGTTCTTTACTGAGAAAGTGTAATCCCAAATATAGCATACGCTACATTTGACCACTTTCTGAAATGCACTTTCACTCTCTCCTCTGAATGCCGCTGTTTACAGATTAATAAGCCCTACAGAAGGCGTGCAGTAATGGAGGAAGCGATCACAGCTCTACCATGGCAAGCATTAATTCCAGGCTTCTAACTGGTTGTCCACTAGGAGATGAAAAGACCGCTTCATGTTCAGAGACCGGTGTTGTCAAAGACGTCATAGTCAGTCGTCCTGGCGGGAGACGGCTACACGCTGTATTCACAGTATCATCTGGTAGTTGTAGTTTCTTATGATGTGCGTCACACGTGTGTGATAACCTGGGGTTGTTTTACTATACCAATAGGGGGCAATGGGGTAGCCTAGTGGTTGGCGTTGGCTCGTCACGCAGAAGACATGGGTTCGATTCCCCACATGGGCACAATGTGTGAAGCCCATTTCTGGTGTACCCCGCCGTGATATTGCTGGAATATTGCTAAAAGCGGCGTAAAACCATACTCACTCACTCACTCACTACTATACCAATACAAGTCTACATTTTACCCCCCTTTTACCCTTTTATTTTTGACAATCATTAATGTTTTAAGTAAAAGGATTTTGATATTCTAGTTCTTAATTTCTATGCACGTGCACACTCTTGTCACGATGCACCACAATATACATTAATTGGCATTACTGTGTTTAAATAATACTTAGGGAAATATTTACAGTCTGTCTGTAACCAAGGTGTTGCAATACTTTTTCCAAGGGCACATATGTGGCCTTAAGTTGACTTTACCCCGCACAGTTAGTACGTACAGTCCCAAATGGAACTAAACACGTTTTAGACAGCACACAGGCCGAGTAATACTTCCCTACAGCTATTCCTTCTCCTTGCCGCCAACCATCTGTCGGTCGACAAACTGGAATAAGCTCTTTATCAAAGGGAAGCTACTCTAGTCTATCATCGTTTCCTCGTTTGGCAACAAAAGAAGCCGGCTGTCCACACTGCGACAAAACGAAACTCGGTAACGATTCACACAAAATGGAGGAGAGGGCCTTGAAGCCAGAGAGGCCTACAAGCAGGGATACAGCCATGAACACCCCAGTTGTCCTCGCTAAATTGTCTGGCAATGTGCATCTTTAAAGTTACCAAAGTTCCACGTTACTTTCTTGTTTGGCACTGATTTTTACTATCTTTAACAGATATTTAGATAATAATGGCAATGATCCCAGTAATGTGTTAAGCTCCCCGAGTACTTATTCTGCTTGGATCCACCCCGATAGCCACAGTTCCATGTGGTCAGCTGGTACTTGTGCCACAAGTCTGCGACGTGATGGTTCGTCATAAAATTATGTTACTCAGTCCTGTCAAGATATGTCTATGTTTGTTTTATTGGTTATATGTTTTTGACATGTTTACACAAATAGACATATGTTACAGGACGATCAATTTCAAATGGTATTTTTACGCTTTCGTAAATGTGTTGTGCGGCTTTTCGTGCTGTTGAGTAGGCCCGACGGAGAGTTACTTTATAGTCACTAGTTTATAAAGAGGAATTGTTTTTGTAGACGCCATTCATTATGATTAGACAAATATAATAGGCTAAGAAACACGGAAGGCCATGCTTTGCTCTGATGTATGACAAAAGGTTCTGCGAGAAAATCCTGGTCACGTGACATGCAAATAAGCATAGTACTTGTGGTGTTATTCCTAGTCACCCTGGTGACAGAGTGCGTCGCCGGTCAGGGTAGGGGTGGTGCTATGATTGTAAATACGGATTGTAATACCCGGTTGTTGTTGTTGTTGTTTTCTGTAATTTCATATTTATCACCTGCAGGACCCACCCGGATCATAAACAGGTATAGCCATTTGCTTCCTGTGGCCGGGATATATGATATGTCATATGAACACTATAAATACATTATATGTAATAGAATGGAATATGAACCACGAAGCCTAACATTCGTTACAGGGCATATGTATATTACCGTTTCCTTGATTATAAAACATCATGTTTGATGTAGACGGTTATCACCCGTCAGGGAGATGTGTCAGGTAGAAATATGTAAAATGTCTTACCTGTTTTGATGTGGTTGTAACACATCAGACGTACACCTATTAGAATGACATGTCTCATGATGTCTGATGATGCCATTGCTCCAAGTGTGGATGGGTGGGTTGACTGCAACACCCGCTTAAGTGTGTTTATTTGTCACACAAGTGGCGGAAGTTTCCAAAATAATTTCAGTTTCAACGATAACATGTCGGTTATATATATGCTTTCCTCTTCCTTCTGACGTGATGTGTATGAACATGTAAGACAGATGCTGGCTAGTTTTTGTGTTTTGATCTTTACACTGTATTTGGGGATTTCAATTGCAAGTAACGTGAAATTGCTGAACATAATTATGACAAGGCAAAACAAAAACGACCATTTAAATTTTATGAGTAAACTTGCATTTAAAAGTATATAATATTTACCTTTTGTGTTTTTAAACAATATTTATAAACCTGTTTTTGTGACTTGTGTAAATTATAGTATCTAACAAAGATTCTTTACCTCGCTGGCTTACGTCCTTTATGCGTGGTAGTTATTGTTTATTTAGTTGTATTACAACATACATGTCCAGGTACCAGTTTGATCGATATGTGCGCCCCTATATAGCCCCGTGATGTCCCATACAGTCATTGAGAATTTCGATGATTCTTGTATTTCGTTCTCTATTAAAATGTGGCTGAAAGATTCCAACTAAGAGTAGACTGGTTGGGATTTGTGTTGGGATGTTTATGTTTCTTGTTCGGTCTGTGGGGGTAGTGGACATGATTCTACAAATGTTGCTTCGTGGTGTTCTTGGATATAATTCTGTGTTTTTCAGATAATCAGCGATGGTCTTCGATCGGTGTCGACCTGGGAGAGCGAAATTTCAATATTCCCTATTCCCGGTAAAGCGAAAAACAAAGTTGTGCTAAAAGTGCCGTGAAAGCGAATTGCTATGTAAACATCAGATTACCGTACTTCAGATTAGCGCGCGACCCCAATACTCGACCTGTGAGCCTCCTAACTGAGATGAAGTTTCAGTTGTGTCAAGTTTCAGCACGTACGTGACCCTACTTAACTATAGTTTTATTAACTCATGTAATGAAGTATGATCATTGTTAAAAGAACCTTATTGTTCCTGGCCGAATTTGTCAAGGTTCCGTCAACTTTTTTCAAGTAAAATATCCACCAAAGTCCAAGTTCATTGTAAGATTGTTTGTAAACAGTTTAATTGATGTATCATTTAGTATGTACTCCTTTGTTATACGGATGTGCCACCGATATCTGTTTTCCCGTAGTTCTCATAGTGAACTACCTGATGGAAGTCGATCTGTATCATAAATTGTAACTATGTAATTCAAATAATGAATTGAGTGCCTTTGAATTAGGTGCTATGACATTTTCTGTTTTTAAATAACAATGTCATGAATAAATATATTTATAAAATAAAACTCATTTGGACTTGGAATGTTTGGAATGTGAACTCATTTGGAATGTTTATGAATGCGGACTTGATCTCGTCACTTTATGGCTGGAATAATGCCGTCTTGATGTCGTCCCTATATGGCTGGAATAATGCCGACTTGATCTCGTACCTATATGGCTGGAATAATGCCGTCTTGATCTCGTCCCTATATGGCTGGAATAATGCCGACTTGATCCCGTCCCTATATGGCTGGAATAATGCCGTCTTGATCTCGTCCCTATATGGCTGGAATAATGCCGACTTGATCTCGTCCCTATATGGCTGGAATAATGCCGTCTTGATCTCGTACCTATGTTGCTGGAATAATGCCCACTTGATCTCGTCCCTATATGGCTGGAATAATGCCGACTTGATCTCGTCCCTATATGGCTGGAATAATGCCGACTTGATCTCGTCCCTATATGGCTGGAATAATGCCGTCTTGATCTCGTCACTATATGGCTGGAATAATGCCGTCTTGATCTCTATATGGCTGGAATAATGCCGACTTCGTCCTATATGGCTGGAATAATGTATTCCTCTCTCATGCCGCCAACCATCTGTCGGTCGACAAACTGAGTAAGCTCTTTATCAAGGGAAGCTACTCCTGGTCTATCATGTTTTCCTCGTTTGGCAACAAATGGCCGGCTGTCGAACATCAACGATAGACAGAAACGAAACCCGCTAACGATTCACACAAAATGGAGGAGGGCCTTGGAAGCCAGGAGGCCTACAAGCAGGGATACTGTCATGAACACCCCAGTTGTCCTCGCTAAATTGTCTGGCAATGTGTATCTTTAAAGTTACCAAAGTTCCACGTTACTTTCTTGTTTGGCACTGATTTTTGCTATCTTGAACAGATATTTAGATCATAATGACAATGATTCCAGTAATGCGTTAAGCTCCCCGATTACTTATTCTGCTTGGATCCACCCCGATAGCCACAGTTCCATGTGGTCAGCTGGTACTTGTGCCACAAGTCTGCGACGTGATGATTCATCGTAACATTATGTTACTCTGTCAAGATATGTCTATGTTTTTGTTTTTTTGTTTTATGTTTTGACATGTTTACACAAATAAACATATGTCACAGAACGATAAATTTCAAATTGTATTTTTACGCTTTCTTAAATGTGTTGTGCGGCTTTACGTGCAGTTGTCGAGGCCCGACGGAGAGTTACTTTATAGTCACTAGTTTATAAAGAGGAAATGTTTTTGTAGATGCAATTCATTATGATTAGACAAATATACTCTCCCAAGAAAGAACCACGTCGGCGCAGGATCGCTACATCCGGGTACATCACCTGCGTCATCGAACAGCTACGGCGACCAGTACCGCTCGACAAATACCCGGATTGAGGAGGCTTTCTGCACAGACCGTCAGGAACAGGTTGAGAGAGGCTTGTTTAGTGCTAGAAGACCTTATTTTGGCCTTGTGCTTCGGCAACAACATCGTCGACATCGAGTTCAATGGTGCACCAACGTTCAGGCCTGGAACCTACCGAATTGGCGTAGAATCTGGTTCAGTCATGAATCACGATTTCTATTGGAACGACGCGATGGAAGAATGCGTGTGCACAGACGTCGACGTGAACGTTTTGCCGACGCTTGCGTTGCCCAGGTAGATAGATTCGGCCGGGGCAGCGTTATGATGTGGGGAGCGATCACCTGCCGTAGGAGAAGTGATTTGGTGATGATCCAGGGCAACCAACGGTACTGTGACGAAATCCTACGCCCACACCTCCTTCCAATCATTGATCGCCAGAGGGAGTTGTTTCAACAGGACAATGCCAGACCCCACACAGCACGTCACACTAGAGACTTCCTCCAGAACCACAACATCAATGTGCTCCCCTGGCCCTCAAGATAACCGGACTTAAACCCGATCGAACATCTGTGGGATGCCCTGGACAGACGGGTGCGACGCCGTAACCCTCAGCCCCAGACTCTTCAGCAACTCGCACAGGCACTACAGGCAGAGTGGGCTGCGATTGGGCAACACGAGATTCTGAGACTTATTCGTTCGATGCCGAGGCGATGCCGTGCAGTTCTGGATGCCCACGGTGGTCACACGAGGTATTGACTTCAGCGCCACCACACGTCTCCATGTGGCACTCAAACTGTCTTTCCTCGAGTTGGTGCCAAAGACGGATAAGACTGCATTCCCAGTGTGCAATTTCGCTGTATGTCATTGACTCATAAAGCCTACAAGATGTTTCAAAATAAACATAAAAATACAGTTGAAATTCCTATATGCGTTTCTTTTTTTAGAGAGTTTATAATAGGCAAAGAAACACGGAAGGCCATGTTTTGCTCTGATGTATGACAAAAGGTTCTGCGAGAAAATCCTGGTCACGTGACATGCAAATAAGCATAGTACTTGTGGTGTTATTCCTAGTCACCCTGGTGACGGAGTGCGTCGCCGGTCAGGACAGGGGTGGTGCTATGATTGTAAATACGGATTGTAATACCCGGTTGTTGTTGTTTTCTGTAATTTCATATTTATCACCTGGAGGACCCACCCGGATCATAAACAGGTATAGCCATTTGCTTCTTGTGGCCGGGATATATGATATGCCACATGAACACTTATAAATACATTATATGTAACAGAATGGAATATGAACGATGAAGCCTAACATTCACTACAGGACATATTTATATTGCTGTTTCCTTGATTATAAAACATCACTTTTGATGCAGACGGTTATCACCCGTCAGGGAGATGTGTCAGGTAGAAATATGTAAAATGTCTTACCTGTTTTGATTTGGTTGTAACACATCAGACGTACACCTATTAGAATGACATGTCTCATGATGTCTGATGATGCCATTGCTCCACGTGTGGATGGGTGGGTTGACTGCAACACCGGCTTAAGTGTGTTCATTTGTCACACAAGTGGCGGAAGTTTCCAAAATAATTTCAGTTTCAACGATAACATAGGTTACAGATTAATAATTATGTATACTTTCTTATTCCTTCTGACGTGATGTGTATGAACATGTAAGACAGATGCTGGCGAGTTTTTGTGTTTTGATCTTTACACTGTATTTGGGGATTTCAATTGCAAGTAACGTGAAATTGCTGAACATAATTATGACAAGGCAAAACAAATACGACCATTTAAATTTTATGAGTAAACTTGCATTTAAAAGTATATAATATTTACCTTTTGTGTTTTTAAACTGATGTCAACAATATTAATAAACCTGTTTTTGTGACTTCTGTAAATTATGGTATCGAACAAAGATTCTTTACCTCGCTGGCTTAAGTCCTTTATGCGCGGTTGTTATTGTTTATTTAGTTGTATAACAACATACATGTCCAGGTACCAGTTTGATCGATATGTGCGCCCCTATATAGCCCCGTGATGTCCCATACAGTCATTGAGAATTTCGATGATTCTTGTATTTCGTTCTCTATTAAAATGTGGCTGAAAGATTCCAACTAAGAGAAGACTGGTTGGGATTTGTGTTGGGATGTTTATGTTTCTTGTTCTGTCTGTGAATGCCGTCTTGATCTCGTCACTATATGGCTGGAATAATGCCGATGTGACGTAAAGCCCCCTCCACGACCAAGCATAAAAAGTAGTGTTTATTATCCCCTCAAAGGCTAGAAATCTCCAGATTCCTGTCGATTGTTTAATTGTTACGACTGCATGATCCTACTAATCATGCTATATGGTTGCGAGGTGTGGGGACATTCAAATATAAACATA